CCCAGCAACACCTTCCGCTGACGCCATGAGTCGTTGGATTGTGTGCGATCGAACCAGACCTCCAGCTGGCAAAACGCCGACGGTGGTCTTTGTGAACGAGACCTTTCCCACCCAGCGCTCTACGCAAGCGAGGCACAAAGGCTGATTTTTGCCACTGCCTTTCACCTTAGTGGAAATAGTAAAGCCGCTAAGATTTGCTTGCTGGGATTTTCTGAATGAGATCCGGCAAACTCCTTTATTAGAAATCAAGAGAGACTGCTTGCATATTGCACACTTGAATGCAGTGGAGTCATTTAGGAGCAGCCTTGGATCGATGATGAACCTCCCTGTGGAGACCTGATTCCAGGAAGTTGGACAGAACCCTTGACCCGGTGACTTAGCCTGGCTCCACATGATTTTAATCCCGGCCTGTCATGCCGGTTGCTTGATGGCCGGGCATGTACACTGAGTACTTACAAATGGCCGGCGCAGGCGTCGCGGGGCCGGTCGGACTTACTTTCAGCTTATGACCGACTCGGAATGAGAAATTTGGAAGTCGCATTGGCCTTATATACCCGCGAGTCAATCCCGAAGCCTGACTTTGTGAATAGGGAACTGACTTCGGAGGCAATATGTCGCCGGCAGTTCACAGGCTGGACGTGTATTGCGCGCTGAGAGTGGACCACGTATTCCCTCACAGTGCAGCACGAGTTTGCTCAGAGCCAAGTGCACCACGTATCCGCTCAGAGTGCGCCACGTATGGGCAGTCGAGTCCACCGCAATGTACGTAATATATGAAATTAGGTAATGAGTCAGCCTACTAGGGCCCGGTCGGGTGCTGCCAGGCGTCTGATAAGTACGGTCAGGCTTGGTCCGCCCGCCGAGGGGGTCGGTAATGGAAAATCCTCTACGGTGACTGCGTCTGGATTGTCGTAAAAAGTGACGCTAATTGGCGCAAAGCTCCGATCGCCGTCGATCCTCCCCGAGGAATATCTGGGCCGTTCCTTTTATGCCATTCTTCAGTTGGTTGGCCCGCCGCCGGCTCAGTGCTGCTTTTGATCGCTAGTAGCGCTGATTGATTTGGCCGTCCGGACAACTGAGGAGCGTCACGGTACGGTCACACGCGCGTGCCGTCGATGGTCGCGACTCGCGTGCCAGCATCATGGGGCTAGCCGCAAAAGCAGATGACGTGGCAGGTTCGGCCGAATTTATTTTGATTTCCAACACGTAGTATTTCACGCCGACCGACCATATATACGAGACCGAACTTTGCAGTGCTTTTTCGGGAGCCCCGACTCGGAATTGCGAAGTCGTACAAGTGACCGCCCTTTCACAAGCGTCGACAGTCATACGGTTCGGGAAAAGTTCGGCCAAGTACCGTACAGTAAGTACCGTTGTTTGTGAGTCCGTTTTGCTGCACTGCTCGCACGAGTCTGCGAAGTGCAAAATTTTCCCGCTGACGCCATGATGATGCCAATGGCAACTTTGGTCTGCTGCGCAGTGCGCTCATGTCCCCGCGCGCGAGAACTGGCCCTGACGCCGACTCGGATATGATACTAGCTTTTTGCCCCGTGGTGCACGTGGTGATTGGCCGACCGGCCTTTTTGAGATTTTTAGCTGCCCAGTGCCTTCCAAAATGGCCCCCTTCAAATCCCAACTTCAAGTTCAAGTTCGTGGTACCACCAAATGTTGAAACAGCTGAAGCCCAAGGCTGCTGATCCAAGATACCGTAGATCAGCTTGTGGAAAGCGCCGTTTGTTTTGTTCTACGGTGCAAAAAGGACCCATCTGCTCAGAAGGTTCGAGCCTCAGACTCAGAGTCGGCGGCTGGTGTCTTGTTACAGACTTTATTGCATCAGCGGCGCAGCGCAAAGTCGACCTGCTATCGTTTGGACCTAGTACGTGGGATTGAGGAGCCAGGAGAAACAGGATTAACCAGTTGGCTACTCGGATCAACAGCAAAGGACCTCCTCTGTGAAGGCTGATCGCATGGTCGAAGGATGAGAACCATCTCCTTGCAGAAGGCAACGCAAGGGTTTGGAGGCGCAAGAAGATTCTTGTTCTATAGTTAGCTGCTGCAGTCTGAGTTCAGCAGAGTGTCAAGTCTTGTGAGCAGATAACTGACCAGCTGGAAGGTCTGGAGTCTCACGGAGGGTTTGAGCTGCAAACTGTCTTGAGAACCGGAATTGAAGCAAAGCCAAGCTGAAGAGATGAAGTCATTCAAGAAGATACTGAGCAGAAAGGTCAAGGGAGGCCCGACTGCCATAGCCCCCACCGCAGCACAAGGCGACTCAAAGGTGAAATTTAGCACCCCGCTGTTACGGATATTGTAGACCCTGGCATTGCTTGATCAAAAAGAAAGCATTTCGTTCTGACCTTCTGAATCTTCTAGAAGGTAGCCAGATGCATCCTGTATTTGTATATAAAGAAAGTTCCTGAGGGGGTGGGAAGAGGGCAAAGCGCACTCCCATGTGAAAGGCTCGCTAAAAGAGATGCTCTGCCTTTGCTCTTTGCTTCTGAGCGCAGACAAACTTTCTCTATGTGCCGGAAAACGTTCATACCCTTTCAGAAATATTTCCAGATAAGTGGCAGCATTCTTGATACAACCTGCAATCGACGCAGAGACAGCCCTACGGGTTGATGGTGCATTCCTGGTTACTCTCTCTCAAGATTCATCCAGTGTGAAGATCTATTCGCAACCTCCAACGCTCTATCGATTTTCTGTGTCTGGAATCACCCAATGGTCTCTATTCAAAGCCTCCTCCTATAGCCTGTATATGCTGCAAGAAGGGCGCCTGACTTCACGCAATCAATGCAGGGCTTGACGCCGATTGACGCCCCTCCAAGCCCAAAGTCAGTAATGGACATTGCAAGTGTAAGCAGGTAAGGAGGACTCCTCTCAAGTTTTGACACCTTTAATTGCAGCTGCATTGCATTGCAAGAAGCAACCTTTTGGAATGTTCTGAATCAGGTGATATGAAGCAGGTTAAAAGAAGCCAACAGCGTCCACATACACTTGAGGTTTTGACCTGCATACAGACAAGATCCTGTCTTCATTGAACTGAATCTATCTTCCTTGAACCCTTTGAACATTATTCCAAAAGTTGTCAGCTGTTAATAAAAGATTTGGCTCAGAGCAGATTGTCGAATATTTGTCTACTTGAGTATCTGAGCGCTTCGCACTTGATAAGCACCACATACAGGTCAGGGGAAGGTCGCAGAGGCAGACCGCATGACCATCCGAAGCTTGTCGTTTTGGTTACCTTCTTTGAGCATTATTTTCCTCGTTGTGTGAGTCGCAACTACCCTGTTGTTGACCCTCATAAGCCCCGATCTCAAATCCTCGTTCCTTATTGCCTGCCTTTCCTCACCAGACAAATGCCAGAGAGTGCAACTAAATGAAAGAAACCCCTTAAAGTTGGGGTTTGAAGGTTCGATTGCCAAAGGAGTGGTTAAGAAAGGGACCCTTGGTTGTGGGGTCTGAGGGAGAACGAACAATCTGACAAAGGTTGTGGAGGCCACTTTCTCATTGCCTGTGCTTTTCCCACAGCATGTCGTCGGTGGACGGTCTCGCACCCAGCACTGGCGGCGGGAGCCCTGAGGTGAATCAGCATTCTCATAGAACCTAAGTCCTTTCGATTGTTGATCTTTTACCTTCCTTCTTTATTTGTCAACTCAAAGTGCGATGCTTCCGTCCACCAGCCACGTTGCAGCTCGTGTCTTGAGGTACGGATCTCTAAGAACAGTCGCTGGAAAATGTTGTAGACCATTCAAAGAGACTGGAATATGCGAGCGGATGCACGGCCACCGGGCCTGGTCACCTGCGAAGCCATCTTGAGAGTTTTTCATGCAGTGCTATTGAAGTGTGTCGCTGCTCATGAAATCGTTTTCTGGAAAACGTTCTTTTGCAACCATTTCCATGCTCAAAGGAACCGCATTCTGTCATGCTCGCTTGGAAAACTGCATACAGATGTATTTCGATCACAGAGAAGCCACCAGTAATCACACATAATCAAGATTCCTGGTGAAGGTTGTCAAACGAGGAGAGTACCCTGGCATGTTCACTCCAAGCTTTGGCTTGCCGCGCACTTGGATACAGCAGCAACCGTCCCTTGTCGTTACTTGAGCAGTCTTCCCGTTCCGTCCCCTTCTTGCCTCGAAGTTTTCCAACATCTGCTGTAGGGAAGTCGAAATGCAGTACTTCAAAATGACGGACGTTTCATTTACCTTAGTTCTTTCGTTGCACCACAGGAAGCGAGAGCGGCTTTTCTTATCCTTCTCTGCCGCATCTTTTGCTCTTTTTGACTTAACAGCATCCGCCCCCAATGGTCGTAAGTAAAGTCAGGCGCTGGCAGGCTTCAGGGTCGACTTTTTGGGATTGCAAAGATATTCTTTTTACTTTCACCGAGAGTTCCACGTCTCAATTACCTTCATAAGCTCTGTACGTGTTTTATTTCTGGGAATGTATCTTTTTTCTCCCCTTCTCTTATACCGTAGCCCAACGGTCTGTTTAATTCTGTTCTTATTTGCTTCCACCTTTCAGTCTCAGATCGTATGTTCGGGATGCTCGTTCTCAGCCGCTTCACACTCTGCTTTAAGTGACGGCTACTTGCAGCGACCTTCTCCGTTTTGCAATCCTTCTGCAATTTCCCTCCCTGTGCTCAACAGGCATCCCCCAGCGAAGCCGACCGCTACAAGGACGCCTTTTCCTACGTTGGGGGGCAGCACCTAACGGAGATTCCTGCCCCCCCCAAGTACGAGCACGACTTCTCGTACGTCGGAGGGGGGTACTTGCCAGCAAAGACGAGCGACGCCCCTCCCGCGGCCAAGTACGCGGACGCGTTTTCGTACGTCGGAGGGGGGTATCTTCCGCCCAAGACGAGCCCCCCCGCCGCAGCGAGCAAGTACGAGCACGCCTTTTCTTACGTCGGGGGGGGGTACTTGCAACCGAAGAAGAGCGAGGCTGTCCCCCCCAGCAAGTATGCGGACGCGTTTTCGTACGTTGGGGGGCAGCATTTGAAGGCAACCTCGGAGGGGGGAGCGGATCCAGGGGAAAGATATAAGGACGCGTTTTCGTACCAGGGGGTTCAGGGGCTGAGGCCGGAGGCGACCGGAAGCGTAGCGGCGGACCCCCCAAAAAAGAACGAGCACGCGTTCTCGTACCAGGGGGGCCAATTCCTGACGAAAGCGCAGTCTAGCCCTCCCCCTGCCAGCAAGTACGAGCACGCTTTTTCGTACCAGGGGGGTCAGTTTCTGAAGAAAGCGGAGTCCAGCCCACCCCCTGCCAGCAAATACGAGCACGCGTTTTCGTATCAGGGGGGCCAGTTCCTGCAGAAAACCGAGTCCAGCCCACCCCCTGCCAGCAAATACGAACACGCGTTTTCGTATCAGGGGGGCCAGTTCCTGCAGAAAGCCAAGCTCAGCCCTTTCCCCACAAGTAAGTACGAGCACGCATTCTCGTACCAGGGGGGTCAGTTCCTGAAGAAAGTGGAGTCCAGCCCTTCCCCCTCAAGCAGATACGAGCACGCGTTCTCGTACCAGGGGGGTCAGTTCCAGAAAAAAGCCGAGCCCAGCCCCCCCCCTGCTAACAAATACGAGCACGCTTTCTCGTACCAGGGGGGCCAGTTCCTGCACAAAGCGGACCCCCGGCCGAGCGCAACCCGGAAATACGACGAAGCCTTTTCGTACGTGGGGGGGCAGTACCTGAAGTCAGCAAAGGTCGCGCCGGAGGCCTCCGTGACGTCAGCGACGGACGGGGGAGTGGGTTCTCGCTACGAACATGCGTTCTCGTATGTTGGACGGCAGTCTTTTCCCGCCAAGAAGCCGGAAGCGAAGCCATACGCCGACGCCTTCTCATACGTGGGGGGGTCGTTTCGCGGCCAAGCGGCAGCGGCGGGAGTTACTGTAGCGGAGGCCAACACTCCCACTCCGAGCAAGTATGAGCACGCCTTTTCGTACCAGGGGGGGCAATACCTCAAGGACAAGGCAGCGAGCAGCCCCCCCGCGGCAAAGTACGAGCACGCCTTTTCGTACCAAGGGGGTCAATACCTAAAGGAGAAGGCAGCGAGCAGCCCCCCCGCGGCGAAGTACGAGCACGCGTTTTCGTATCAGGGGGGGCAATACCTCAAGGACAAGGCAGCGAGCAGCCCCCCCGCGGCGAAGTACGAACACGCGTTTTCTTACCAGGGGGGTCAATATCTGAAGAAGGAAGCGGCTAGTTCTCCCCCTGCCGCCAAATACGAGCACGCGTTTTCGTACCAGGGGGGGCAGTTCCTGAAGAAAGGCACCCCGAGCAGCCCCCCCGCAGCCAAGTACGAGCACGCGTTTTCGTACCAGGGGGGTCAGTACCTGAAGAAGGAGGCAGCCAGCGACCCCCCGGCCAAGTATGAGCACGCGTTCTCTTACGTGGGGTTATTGCCTCCCATAGACGAAGTGCCCAGCACGACAGGTGAGCACATTATGGTGGTAACGTTGGGCACTTTAGGACGAAGTGGCGAACTTCAAACATAGATACATTCCGTAATTTGCTTACACCTGTTCGCATCACTTTCTTACCTTTAAAACATTTACTTAACCTTAGCCCTTCTTTACCTTTTCGCCCGTTGGATCTTTTCGTGTATGTCTGGAGACTCGGGTACGTGGATCACGTGTTTCTTTACTCTTCGGGAGCTCGGAAAGGCCTCTCACCGGCTATCTGATACGCGAAGCAGGCGGCAAGCAAAGGTCTATATTGTGTTGCATGTACCTAAACTATACCCTCTTCAACGTGTCCCTCTTGGAAGAAAAGCGATGTGCCCTTGGGGTCTCGTGGTTCCACATTCCTGAGTCGCTTCGACTACTTCTTTCGAAGGTGCCTCAACCATTTCCCATCTTTCTTTGCGACGTTTTTAAATGACTTTCCAAGATATCCCTAAACCTTGAATTTTGATTTTTCCCAGTTTCTTTCGAAGTGTACGCTCTTTCCAAGCTGTCTCTCCGAACGCTCCCTTGAACTGCATTGAAACTCTGGCCTTTTTTTTTTGACCCGATACTCTACACCCGCCTGCACATAAGGACACTCAAAAAGGTCTCTGACGCCGCAACTCTGGACTTGTATGTTTCAAGGGCCGACTGTTTAACGGTAAGCACCGGGGGAACGGGTGGGGTTAGTCTGATGCTTAGGTTGGGTGCAGGTGCGAAGCGCGTGATATTCGGGTTACGGACCGTAGTTGAGATGCCCGGCGTTTGTGTATCAGAAAACAAACTCCTCTTATTACAGTATAGAGTTACTCATATGCAATTCAGACTCGCCTGTCCCCTTGCCAGGCAAAACCGCTCCCCTCATGAACGGACAGCACGAGGAGGAAGACAAAAATATCCAGGCGAAGGCTCCCGCCGCTTCCGTAGAAGCAGGCACGGAGGTAGGATTCGAATCGACTCTCGGTTGAAATATCCTGTCTTGTTTTCAACTTGCGTACTGCAGAAAGGTCTCGTCGGATTCCACCGTTGCCTAGATTCGATTGCTACTTTTACGCGCGTGGATGCAATAACAGACAAGATACGTCGACAATCGGCCCCGAAGGAGATGCGAAGCGAATTTTTCCTGTCGCTTGGCTGTAATTAAGAATACAAAGTAGATTAATCGTCAAGCCACTGAAACACGCAATGATCGGTTCTTTACCCAGTCTTTCAATCAGCACCGCTTTTAGCATTCTGAGTGCGCCTTTCAGAGGAGATGCGTACGACGAAAGTCAAAAGGAGATTAAGGGAGGATAAATGGAAATCAAAGGGAGATGCAAATGACTTTTTCGGGCCAAGAAACGAGAGGTCTTCCGGCATGCCCGACGAATGCTACATTTCTGACCATCTTTTCAATCGGTTTTGTCAACGGGACAGCTTTAGATCCCGTCGTCGTTATCAACTCTTCCGTTCCACTCTTGGTGCAGTTTGGTATGGAGAAGCAAGGTCCTGGGGTTGTTGAACCGGGCACGGAGTCGCTCAAGGACGTGGAGGTAAGCGCTGCCTCCTCGATTCCTTCGTACCGTGCAGTTGTCTCTTCTTTGTGCAACGATCACTCCGAGGTAGGCTTGCAGCATCCTAACATCCGCTTATGTAGAGGCCAACAGTTGGTTGCAGAGTTATCCTAGTCCTTGTCATTCCGTGTTGCATTTGAAGTTCTGCCACACCTGCCCTGATGATCTGCCACGTCCTGGCTGTTTCAAGACTATCGTCTTACTCGCCTGTCCTAAAGCTTCTCCAAATAACGATCACTGCTGCGAGCCTACCGTTTTGGCTCTGAGTTGCAGCCAAATATCCATCAAAACGTGTTCATGCGTCAACCGCCAATCGGACGCTTTACACCCGTTACCGTCTCAGCGCCCTTCTGGACACCTTTGCAATGCAGTCAAAGCACGAACCGCTCGCGATTGCATCCGAACACTCCTTTTGTTAAACGGGTATGTTCGAACACGCGTAATCGCCGGATGGCTCAGTTCAGTGGCGGGACTTGTCAGCCAAAAGTGAGTGGCGATCAATAGCGTCAACTGTCGCTTTCGAGCCCGCAACTGCTCATCGACAGGAATTACACAATTGCCGTGGAACACTCGCCGCTGAGTGAACGAAATGGTGACGTAGGCGGAACCACCCGGTTAAAGCGCCTGCCATTTCTCTGCAGGTGACGTTGGCCAGGGTTCGCACCAAAGCCGCGGCGGTGAAAGAAACTGTCGGTGGCGCGCGAAAAAAGAAGGCGTCCTGTGGGTGCTTCGGCTAGGCAATCGGGACAGACGAGTCTGTAAAACTAGGTGTGGAAGGTTCCGGGGTCGGGAAAGGGGAGCTTAGGTTCGACGCGCATATTATTCCAGCTTCCCCGCTGATCGGGAAAGAAACCGGGTAAAGAAACCAAAACTGGATAATAAGCCGATAAGATACAAGTACGGTAGAATAAATGATATGGGTGGGTGTCGGCTTGCTTGTTTGATTGCTAGAGCGGACGAGACATGTCATATATACAGCGGACCAGCTATTAAACAATACTGATAGGTTGAACTTGACCCGCTTTTGTTCTTTATTAAACTTCGCGTTTTGTCCAACACTCAAAAGCTCGACATTTTAGAAGGGCCGCGGTGTTCATGATACAAAGAACGGCTGCCGATGATGCTGGACACATGCAGACTCATGAAGCGATAACGCAGCCTCGTTGGTTTCAAAGAATGATGTGAGAAGTGGACGTACATATACATGTCACAATCTGTGCTTGAATAAGTACGTGCAACCGCGCTAGGGCTTGCTGCATGATGCACACTGATCGAACGGACGTTGTTGATTGAATTTTTATTGATGGGCCTGCTTCTCCTATGTCGCACCGAGGCCGGGCCAGCCATCAAGATCCGAGTGAGCGGCCTGGCCGCTCGAAGTCATTACTGCGTTGATGGATGCGTGTCTCACATGTTTGCAGCGAGCTGTAGCCAGGCAGTCCGACTCACTTGGCCTCAGTCTGCCAGGCATGCCATATGCAGAAGGGTCCAATTAAGTTCGCGCGGTCAAATGGTCCAGACTCCCAAATGTTAGAGACGTCTTATACACCACAATGATGCACAATGGGGCTTTTATGCATGTCGACGCGCCGCGTGGTCGAAGCACATCATTCCATCCGACGGTAGCTTTGAACACCCTATATAGTGCGCAGTGCGCTGTGTACTCCGGGCCAGAAACCTTATGAAGAGCGTGCAGGCTCCAGGATACCGACACATACCGGTCTCGGCTGCTTACGAGTTCTATTTAAAAAGAAGCGCTGAGGAGTCAGACAAATCCATGTTCGATTCAAATTATTGGTCCATCATTGCACGCAAGACGTTTGTTTGTATATACAAGAACGCACCCGTCACAACCAACGCGCGCAGGTAATCTGCAACACGTGTCAAAACTAGTCGTCCCGTACGTGGATGAAAGTGCTCCCTTTGCTGCCGCGGCTGATGCGCAGCTTGTCATCCAAATACCTGCAGAAGCGACAAAGTCACTCAGCGCATTGAAACATACGACGAATTCCAGTTTGTTATTTCCATAACCGTAGAACGCATATGCGCAGACGATTGAGCACATGAGCTGCTTAGTGTCAACAGATTATGACGAACCAGGCTTTCGACAAGGACAGGGTGCGTCTTGCTTATGGAGAACGGGCGGTCAGACAGAGATGAGGAAGCCTTTCTTAGACAGACCGTAAGCAACGTCAAAACAGATGGAGGCAGACAGACTGGCTCTTACAGTTGCTCAACAAAGCCCCGCCCGTTGAGGTTCAACGGAATCTTGACCGGCCCAACCTCCACGGCCGCTTTTCTGATGAAGACGTTCGTCCTCACGGGTGACGTGGTTCTGAAAGGGCACACGATTAGTTAGTGCGAAAGTTGGAAAATTTGTCCGAAGTGTTGTGGCTTCATCGAGCAGATTCACGCCCCTGGATTTCTTCACCAGGAGTCTTGTCATCGATGTTAGGCGTAATCTTTGACCGGGACTCTTATACCGTTCTCATAAGGCAACAGCGACTTTCAATGACACCAGACTCTGTGGACAACTCCACGAAAGCGCAACACGCTGGGTTCTCTCCTCCTTATAGCCACCTTATCGTTACCTTATCGTATGCAGAAGTGTCATCGCAGAACCTCGATCAGACGCGTATGTTGACTAGCTTTACATCGTCGCAATATCACTCCCTCTATATCTGGAGTGCGGGTTGACTAATGGGTCACTGTCTGCCGGTGCTCACTCCTATCCATCCCCCCTGAAAGCCGGCAAGGACACTGGCAAACCGAGAACACTCGCTTCGCGACGTTGTAAGAAACCAACTCTTCTGCTTGAAGAAGGTGTTCTAGCTCCCGTGCAGGGGACATAAGTGCCCGATGCGGATTTCCTATGTTCCTGCCGCATCAAACAGACTTAAAGGACAGTCGATGAGAAAGCTGACTCGACCAACGTCTGCTGAACCTCAGTGAGCTCTTGATCGTCAAGATCGTCAGTCGAAACTTAAGCGCTCCATAAAATTTGAGTGCTTCATCCTCAAAAGTTCAACTCACTCGGTATCCGCGTTCGCCCGCAGCTTGACAAACCCAAACACTGCCGTCACGAGGTTCTCGAGGGTGCCCGTATCGCCGTCGATAATCTGCATCGACGACGAAGAATGATCCGCAGGCTTTACTTTGAACATAGCAGCGTCAGGACATTGACTGGTTGCAAAGAACTTGATACGATGTCGTTTTTGAAGAGCAAAAGCACTCCTCAACAAGAAAGATTGCTTGAGAGCTCAATCGTCGGTGTCTATTCGAATGAGGCGGATTCCAGCCTTTTTGCTCCTAAAAACAACGCAAGCGAAACCCTTCAGACAGCCCGAATCTTTGACTGCTAGTTGATTACCCCGTTCCTGAGGCAGTGTTTTCGGAAAGCACCTTATCCAAACGACATTGTTTGACTGATGAAGCCTCACCTGCCAATTGCTCGCGAATCCAGCCGACAACTTCTGCAAAGGGTTCGCATTCCGGGCCTGTGGAGAAAGGTAAGGAAGCGACGTCGCCTGGTTGGGAGGAGGACGGGACGAAGGCCTTGGCGCAAAGGATCAACCCCTAGCACCACTGTGAGCTTTCAGCAATCCTCATGCCGCGCTAAAGCACCGCCTACCTATTGCTCCGAACTCATCCTCTCAGGCTTGTAGATATTTGACCATCTGTGGAATCATCTCGTCGAATCGTTAGTCAGCACACGTTCAACGGGCAGTACAACGTAAGCCCGACAAGGAAACGGCCTGCCTCGGAATCCAAATCTTAATAGCCGACAGAGACCGATGAGTGCCAGGGGCTTTGCCACGAATGTGAGCCGGGAAGTATCTCATCTGCTGATTGAAGGCTTGAACGGTCCAATGTACATAAAAGGGTGAACGCTCCGACTACCATGCCTACCTGTGATGTCCAGACAAGGCGCCACTTTCCCGACAGCGCCTCAGATTTGGCAGGGGCGATGTTAGGATTGAGCGGTTTCAACTCCTCGATTGCCTGCAAGCGGGAGCGGAATCAAGTTTCAGACGTTGATGACTGCAGCCTTTTGACCCTTCGATTGCCCGCAATTGAAGGATCTGTAAATGAAAACAGAGGATGTATGGGCGATCTAGAGCTTGAGGAGACTCGGACGACAAAAGGCTTGAGAGCGTGTGAGTGCTAACAGTCCTGAAGCGTTTGCGACCTTCTCTTCGGGGAAAAGTTGGAAACAGAGACGGGCTAGGATGCGTGCTGGCCATAGAAAATTGATAAATGGAAGCAGGCGGTGTGATGCGAGTCAGCTTCGCGCACCAAATACTTCTCCCTGCTAAAGAACGTGGCTTCACTGGACCGATGGAAACTGGGCAAGCTGATCCATGAGCCCAAGTGGATCTCATCACTGCCACCAGTCTTTGTTAGCGACGGTTGTAGGGGTGTGCAACAGTACAGCTCGAAGACAGCTTATCCATTCATACCAGGTAGAGCACAAGAGAAAAGAGGAAAAACTATGAATAGAGCAGAGGTTAAAAGCAAAGTCTCGAATGCCGCAACTGCATTTGCACCGCCTCCTGCGCAGCCCAGAAAGAAAAGCAGCGACTGATGCCGAAAGCTCCCTTCTGAAAGGATCGGTGACTAACCGTCTGTCAAATCTGAACACCCTTTCCAGCTTCAATAGTGATCAAAGGTGAGCCGGTGCACGCAAGGACGGCAACAGCAAAAAACATTCTGCTCGCTTGATGCGGCCCCTGAAGGGCCACGTGGCCTATGTCGGTTGAATTCAGATTTTAGCTACGAAGAGGCCGCTGCCACAGGCCCTGTGTCACTGATGACGTCACTGTGACGGCGAGATCAATAACGTGCTAAGAAACATCGGCCCGCCATCTTTGGACGGACGATAGATAGATTTCTTGCTGACTAGAAAAGTGCCTGGTCTGTGACTGACTTAGCTGTTCAATCACGTGGTTGAACTCCCCAAAAACGACGGGAATACGAGTTGGAATGGGAGGTTCTCAAATGACGAAACAAAGCAAAGAGCAAGGCGTCATTGGAAAGGCAAACAAGCGGCCAGTTAATAAATGTTCACGGAACAATGAAACGCCTTTTAAAACAGCCGTATTGGAGCTTCTGCATCTTATAAAACAAAAACTGCCACAGCCGGGGACGTTGTTAAACCCTTTCTGCGAGAAAGAAAAACAGGGTGAAGGTGACAATCGGCTCGTTGAGTGTCGGAACTGAACGAGGGCGCAGGGCAGAAGTATCCTTGAAGTGCAGTCTCTAACGCAGGGATCTCAGACAATGCAGTGCACTGGCTAAATCACTCACGCTGAACGTTGCAGAAATTTTGCAAAGGTAGGTGAAAGTGTAGAACATTGGAGCGGCAGAGTGCCACGATAATCGTACGCAGAACTTTGGTATACTCTGAACTTTGAAGAGCAAAACGTTGGCATCGGAGGTTTAGACAAACCTCTCATGGGCAAGCCCAGCCCAGTCCCTCATCATCGCCAGTGATCGGGCAGCCTCACAGCGCCGCTATTTGAAGGACGGAAAGTACAGGGCCGGAGGTAAACAGTGCAGAAAACTGTGCAGAAAACTGTGCGTGCAGAAACAATCTTGGGCAAGATCCTTCCTTGATAGCAATGATAAGGTCACAACGCCTGGAATAGAGCAAGTCAGACCGACTTATTTCAACCATACAGACGTTAGCAGCATGAGGCCGGTCTACACACAGGCGACTTCTAACTTCATCACGTGAAGCCAGGCGCAAAATTCGCCAACGAAAGCTGGGCTTTAGAGTAGGCAGATATCCTTCCTAAGTGGAGAGAAGAAGTGGGGATATTTCAATCATATTGAAATGTAATAGAAACATTGCTGCGGAGAGATCAGTACGTTCCTCCCTACATCGGCGTCGTGGGTATGTTTCCCACCGGCGACCGATCGCATGAGACTTCGCCTCAACGGTCGCTTGGATTTGCAGTCAACGAACCATTTGCAGTCGAAGCTGCAGCGACTGCGATTGATACCAATTATTCGTTGGTACCAGTCAATGGTTGCGGAGCTACCACATCCAATATTTCTAAGATGCACGGCGCTCGTGCATCCCTAAGCAGGATTGCTCATGCATCTTGTGCTGTCAGAAGTACACTGGCCAAGCACAACAAGTCCACGAAGAATTCAGAAGGAGGCATCCCCTTCATTTCAAGCTACTCCGACAAGAATCACAGAGAGAGAAAGTCAACCAAGGTTCCTCTTCTTCGAACAGAAAACACTGAGAAAAGTCACGAAGAGGGCGAATTCAACGAGGGCCCTTCTCTCACCGCATCTACTCCAAGTAGATTCAACGAGAGCTTACCTGAGAGTTGTGCAGACTAGAACATGAGCCAGTTTTAAACCTCTGAGAGTCTTAGCTGTCAGACACCAGCAACCCAAAGTTCTTACCACGCTGGACAGTCATTCGACCGGAAAATGATTCGAAAGGATGTTTCAAAAGGGCGGAACACCGAGACTGTTCATGTAGAAAGCGCTGAAAGCTATGCAGTACGTACCTGCTCTACGTCCCGTTTCGACTTGACTGCCAAGAGCAGCTTCTGTCGGGGCCCCGGGTTGCGTTGCAGCACGAAAGTCGTTCCCTGCAAACTTAGCAATTTGCTTCAATGGTCTGCGGCTAGTCTGCACGACTGGCTGTTTTACGGACCAACTTTCTGAGAAGTGATCTTGACGATAAAACCTTAAAAATCAGATTCGAGAGGTGTCTGGAGCATATCACAACCCGTCTGAAGAAGGAGAGGGCGAGAGTAGTCTCGTGACGCCGGAAGAGCACAACAGGGCCGAACAGATTCGAGGGGGGGTGGAAGTTCATCGTCTGTCGAAGTTGGCAGACAAGAATCGGTTAATAGACGTAGAAGCATAGCGAGAGTGCTTAAGGTCCATCCACCAAGACATTGCTCGGACACATGACAGAATGAGAGGCATCGGCGCCCACGCTTTCAAAGCTCGAAAGGAGTCCCTTCACAGGCTTAAGGCCACGTTGTTGATTTTCAATAAAGAAACCCTCTGAAATGGATCGAAACGAGGGATACCTTCCAGGTTTGACGACTTCCAACGTTTGTTAAACAGAGTCCCGGACCAAATGGACTTTGTGAAACTATTGATCTGGACGTATCGACGTGCACCAATGGGAGTCGAGTAAGGAAAGGTCCAGGCAAAGAGGCGAAATCGACAGCCGTACCTTATTCCCTTTCGAGATGCGCAGGTTGCCCTCCGGAGACAAGTATACGGTATCAAGCCAGCCCTTGGCTTCGTCATCGAGCAGCTTGAACGGGACGGGGTACGGGACTTTGAACGGCAGGAATTGGAAATGGAAGGCGGCTCGGTCGAAGCGGAAGTTGATACGGACTCCAGTGGCGATCGAAGCAACCGCCTGAGTAAAGGGGGACCTCGTGTGAGGTTACGTCCGAAGAGAGCTCTATCTTGGAGAAAAGTTTCGTGGCGATCGAAGCAACTACCTTTTGGGAATGCCAAAGTGGGGCGTCTTGCCCAGTGAACGAGGCCTGATGGAGGACTTCTTGTTCTTGTGAAATCCTGTAGGAATGAGAGTGTTGTGGAAGAGGGAACTCGAAGCGAGAAGAGAAGGGGCGCGGTGTCATATCCATTGCCCAATCATCAAGCTTCGACCCAGTTCTTGACCATATTGGACACAGACGACTCCATTTTAATGCACTTTTCATATTAGCAAGTCAGAGCATCCGATCGGACGACTGAGAAAGCACTACCCCCTCCAGATCGCAACGGTCCAGATCCCTCTGAAGGTGATTGTTTGTCTACGTCGGATCAATGAAAAGCAGCCTTTCGCTTGCCTTTGGTCTGGCGCAACTCTCGACGAAATGTTTATTTACCATATAACTGGGATATGGACATGTCTTCGACCACCAGGTCTTACAAAAAGTGGTCGATGTATTATATGGGCCATAGATAATAAGGGACCCCTTCAAATTCAAAGACCTGGACCCGATAATCGAACCTGCTCCGCATCGCTTTTCCCCTCCCCCAAACTAACCCCATCCGTCCTGAGACTGTTAGGGCTTACCTCCACCCGCAGCTCGCCAATCTTCTTGCCAAAGTTCACGGTGTTGGTCACGCGTGGATCGTCGGTGTTTCTCAGAACGATTTCCTGCAAGAATAGGCAGCTGATTATCTGCTGAGATCTGGGGCAACATACGTACGATCCTCCTCCTGTTTCTGAGGGGCACCTTTGTCGTCCAGTATCAAGTTACTATGAGAAGCCGCATCTTGGACTCAAGCAACAAATGACTGACTTCAAGGATTCAGTCTCGCAATGTTTGCGCATTCCAGCGTCAGGTGCTTCTTCGTGGATTGACGTGGGCCGTCAGGATTGCAGTCAAGCAACTATTTTCAAGACTGCAGTAAACTCAACACAAAGATAGCCTAGTAATACTGAACCTGTTGATACGAAGTTCGAAACTCCTGTAACAAGCTAAACAACGAACGGACTGCCGGAACCAACCACATGGGGCTGAGTTTCAAAGAGCATGTTCAGGAAAGTGGAAACGGCATGCCAATACTGGGAGCTGTCAATCACGCCTCCTCACCTGAAACACTGTGAATGCATCAACCCCAACGAAGCTCCGTTGAATTGGCGACGCAGTCCCCGGTCGTGTCGTGTATACCAGTTGCCAGCGCCCTTCTAGTGATTCTGCCTCCGTGGGATTCTGAAGGCCGCCATCTTCCTCAAGCACCCGAACACAGTCGTCTATGACCTGGAAGAGGTGTACAAGGCCACTTTAGATCAACTTTCTTGTTTAAGGAAGTCTCACAAACATTGTGAAAGCTCGATGAGTTCAAGTACCTCAAGATTATGAGGGTTTTGTGAGCAACTATCAGAAAAGAATGGCAACAGCGATACACGACACCTCTCTATATTCTTTTTCAAGGTGGTATAAAAGAGCCTGCAACAGAACTGCTTGTGATGTCTTTTGCCCGCTCGTGGCCCCCTTAAGCATCTCTTACATTTTCTGCTCCAATGAATGTAGGGCTAATGCAGGTTTCTTTTATACACAGAGGGGCACATTGTGCACACTCAACTTACCCAAAGCTATTGAACAGGAGAATATGTTGATGCAGCATAGGAACGTTCTTAAAGTCTTGCCACCAGTAAGAACGCTCAAGAAAGGAAGATTGAAACTCAACGAACTTCATGTTGGGACGGGGAATCTATGTTGATGCACAGAAGCATGGCCCAAGCACAGTACTGACTCACTTTCTTCTGTAGATCTGACGCAACTCTGCCCCTGCCTCCCACCCCCGATATGGCATCAAGCAAAGATTCCCGCGCATCTTCTACTGACCGGGATGTTTCAACATTGCTCTCTACTACAGCCCTGGGGGGCATCAGGCTCGCTTGCTTCCTGTGATGTGGAAGCTTCATAGGATGGGCCAGAGGACTGTAATGCATGTAGGACCTTGAAGTACGTAGGAGACCGGGCAAGTTTTGATGCAGCAAGGACTGGACTAAGCTGCTGCATTGTCCACCAGCAGGTGCCCTGCGCTCGCATGGTGGGTGTGAAAGCAGGAACCCGTGTGGTTGTGACATTGCCTGCAGAGACTCCATGGTGCGCAGTTCGAAGTGTTTCAGCTGGGCATGAATCGATGCTGATGGACGACCTGAAGGAAGGTCTGTAAGTTTAACCGTCTGTCTGTGTTTCAGATTCTTGCACTGGAGCTTCCCCTCTCGAAAGCTCCGAACTGGTAAACTTCTGCCACATTCTTCACGATTCTTCCTACCTACATAAAACCTGATGATTACCTACTATAGGTGTCTCAGTTTCTATTCTCCCAGATTTGCGCGACGAGATGCCATAAGAGTATCGGCCCTAATTCCGGAATTTTGCAATTCCGGACGGGTAAAGCAGAAATGTTATTCCGGACCTAACGAAGCAGTCTACCGAGCATACCAAGACTTTCACCACTTTAAATTCCGGATTGTTTGAATGCGATTCCGTGTGTCAACTCACCGACTGAATCTGTTAGGTCCAAAATAAGGATTTCGCTCTGCCCGTCCGGAATTGCAAAATTCCGGAATTAGGGCCTATACTCTTACCCATTTTGTGGACTGATGCCAGCTTTTGAAGATACATATTAGCCCGCAAGGCACTTAATATAGGGGCGTATTGCCCAGTTACAAAGCTAGAAAAAATTTGTGGAAGACGACATTTCGACTGCGACACCCAGACTCGAACTTCAACTTCAAAGAGTCAGAGCAGTGACGATCATGGCGCTCAGCCATGTCATTACCAGGCGACCATGAGGGGCTCATTCCTTAGCAAGGAGTTCAGGGTGGCGTAGAAGAGAAGTTCTGGGGACCTTTGAAGGGAAATAACATGGCCAAACCGCATGCTCAGAAGGTTTGTTTGGTTGACATGCACTAGGAGTGTGTGACAGAAGGATGGTACAAATACGTGAGACTGCCGACATGGCGGAGGAGGTGGGAAGCAGAGCCTCATCAAATGGAGGGGAAGATGCCTCTGAGGTTTCTGAACCCGCCGAGGAGCAGCAATTGCTGGGTTTGTCTGGGAAGTCCGGCGCAATGCAGTCTGAACAGAATGGCACCGGGAAAGCAAAAAAGAAGAAGGAAAAAGACAAACACAAGGACAAGGACAAGGAGAAAGAGAAGGAGAAGGACCGAAAACCTGACAAGGAGAAGGATAAGAAGTTGACAAAGGCTGGGTCGTCCGGGAAGGGCAAAGCCATTGTGCCTGCCAAAGCAACCAAACCCAAGGTCGCTGGCCCCAGCGAGGATGACACTGTGCGGACAGAATGCGAGAAGGCGGTGAAGACAATGAAAAACAATCCGCAGAGGGCTCAGAAAGCAATCAAGGAGACATGCCAGAAGCATCCCACCATCTCCCTGGGGTTCAGGTATCATGCCTACATAGAGAAGCGGCTCGCGGAGCAGCAGAATGATGCGAGCAAGCTGAAGAAGCAGCACATCAAGACAGCGCTCGAGGCTGCGAAGCTGGCGACCACACTGAGCCCCAACTCGGTAGAGCACGCCTTCTTTTATGCGATGTTGCTGCAAGAGTACGTCGATGGGGAGGAGAATGCGCAGGCCATAGCGGAATGCGAGCGTGCGCTGGGCATTGTGGAGCCCAGGGATCCGGCAAGGGACATGCTGGGAGAACTGCCTGAAGAGCTGAAGACCACTGAGATGAGGATTGGCCACTTCAAGCACCAGCTGCGGCAGCTGTCGCATCAGATGAAGCTGTCGGGGCTGCAGCATGTCTTCAAGCACGTGAGCGTGGACAGCGAGGGCAACTTCGTCCCGCTGATGCGGCAATTGCAGAGCAATGACAAGGACCTGGAGCAGCGCATCCTGCAGCCAAAACGAGCGAACGAGGTGAAAAAGAGCACCAAGACGGAGGCGGAACGGCGGAAGCAGATTGAGGCGCAGCTGGAGGCGACGCGGCTGCTGATGCATCAGAAGGAGGCGCAGGAGAAGCGGAAGGGGGCTAAGGAGGCGGCAGAGGCGGGAGAGGTGGAGGAGCGAGAACAGCAGCGGGGCGGCAAGGGGGGGGAGAAGAAGCGGGGGGCCAAAAGCAAGGGCCAGAAGAATGGGGCGGATGAGAAGATGAAGAAGGTGCAGCCGTTCTGGGAGACTGCGGTCTCGGAGCAGCGGGAGCAGCTGCTACAGGTGCCTGTCAGCGAGTTGGCGCAGCGGCTCAAGTCGAGCAGGAGTGCCGAGTCGAGCAGCGTGCTGGAGGAGGCGCTCGAGTTCTACAAGGAGAATCAAGTGTGGAAGTACTGGCTCTGCCACAAGTGAGTGCAGCCACATTGTTGACTTTCTATGTCCTTGTTTCGAATGGGTTTAGTTGCTCATGGTTGGGCATGGGTTTCAAAAGATCTGATACAATGAGAAAAGTTAGCTGCTGTCTTTGAAGGTTTGGGTAAAAGGTCATTGGCAAACTTTAGCAGGCTTCGGCAGCGATGGTAGGATTTTTCCGCTGCCATGCAACCTTTACCAACCATTGGAGAGAGTATATCAGCACACTGTTCGAGGTACCTTCTTGTTACGTGATGGTGAAAAAGTGAAGAGTGCTTTTCAGACCTCTTTAGAATCTTCTGATGCATGGTCGTTGCATGGTGGTGTGCTCAGTTCGTATTTGATAGTAAGTTTTCTGCTTTGATGGAAGAGCGTAGACCAATTAATTTCTATTTTGGGGTCCGTACCACTTTAGGTAGACACAGATCCTAGATATACACAAAAGTTGGTTTTGGTGTCATATGCTCATTCTGCCTTCAATAAGCAGTCACAAACTACGCCTAAATGTGTCAGGAAAACCCCCGATGAGGGTGGTGGTTACGTGCTTCTATCAATCTTTTCACAATCGCCTGATTCTAATGCCTCTGCCACTTTTCATATTGCGCTGGTGTTCAACAAGGTGAACACAGTGTTTGTTTCTTTGTTTTGGTATGATTTTGTGTACCCGTCTTTTGGCGCATGCCTGCTGTCAGATCTCCTTTGATACAATGCATATAAAAAGGGAAGAGCTCTTCCAACTGTCTTAATGTTCAATTGCCCCATCAAAAGCACCACCACAAGCATGGCCTCCAAATCGTTTGCAACTTTTTGTGCTCTGTAATCTGCTTTAAGAGGACGGGCATTCTATACGCCCTTCACTCCACTTAGGTTTGATCATGAAAGAGATTGACGCTTTGAGGTTTTGCTCTTCAGGTGCAGCGCAAAGTTCAAGACGGGGATCGAGCACAAGGTCCACGTCCAGGAGAAGCACCTCATTTTCCCCGCGGGGGGCGACATCTCTCCCGTGGACCTGCCCCCCAACTTTGACATTGATAAGATGCTTCCAACCGACGGAAAGGAAGCTGCACGGCTCCTCCTGGAAGACGCCCTCCAAAAGCGTATCATCGGCCCCGATGCAAAGCCGGCTCTATCCCCTAACAGCCCTACGTCCGAGGCCCCTTTTCTCGACGCGCACGAGAGCGTCCCAAACGCGGCCGACGCGGACGGCAGCGAGGGGGGCCAGTCCGCAGAGAGCCAGTTTGAGGAAGCGGGGGAGCAGTTTGAGCCGCTGCTGAAGGAAGGCGAGGAGGGGGAGCACTTTGTGGACTCGGAGAACCCGCCCCCCGAGATCGGCGAGCACTTCTGTCCGACGCATGGGGCAAACGGCTGCCCGATCTCGCTCGGGAATCAGGACGTAGAGCTTCCAGTGGTGGAGGACGAGAAGCGGGCCAAGTCGCTGGGGGAGCTGCTGGGGCTCGTGCGCGTGCTGATTGAGCACAAGCTGTTCTTCATGAACCACCAGCACAAGATCTTCCAGTTCCTCGTGGATGTCCTGCAGAGCCTGCTCCCGGGTTAGTCCACAGATTATCATTCTGATTTTTGGCTGGAAGGTTGCGTCCAGGCGACACTGCATACAGACGGTTCTACGGTCTGCAGAGGGCGCAACTAAGAGAGAAGGTGTCCTGAGTTGGCGCTCTCTGGATCAGGCCCCTGTTTCGCGAATGCTTCTACTAAAGTGATTGACCGCTTGAAAGATCGTAGAATCAGATGTCCAGATTGGCTTGGTTTTGGGGGATGCTGCTTCATGCATCTGACAGAGCTGTTTACCCTTTGAAAGACCTGTACTGATGCTTTCTGACCTGCAGGGTTAGGAGATGGGGTGATTAGTAGAATTTGACAAGCAGATTAGGATGTGCATCTCTCCTGTGATCCTCTGTTTTGCCACTCAGATACCCCTACTGAGGCAGACGCCTGGCCCGCAGATCCGTCCGCGTCGGTGGAGTGGCAGCACGACTGGAACCTGCTACGCATGGTTGACGAGGAGAGCATCGCCCAGGTGCGGCAATACCTAGAGGACGAGATCCTGGGAGAGGGCAGCGATAACAAGCTGACGGTAACGTACAATGTCGAGGAGGACGAGCCGGTCCCGCTCGACATAACCCTGTCCGAAAGCGAGGAGGTTCTCGCCCCGTCCAAGCGGCTGATGTACCTGCTGCTGTACAAGAAGGGGGATCCCTTCCTGCCGGAGGGGGTGCCGGTGGCGGAAGCGGGGGGGGACGCGGGGGGGCCGAAGGAGGCCCCGGCCGCAGAGGAGATGGAAGGCCCTGGGGCTGCACTTGCAGAGGAGATTTTGAAGGAGCCCTCAGCTGGGGAAGAGGCGGAGGAGAAAGGGGCTTCGGCGATGGAGAAAGAGCCTCTGATTGGGCCGTTGGAGGAGACCGCTTCGGGAGAGGGCGCGGGGGAGAAGTCCACAGCTGACGAATCTGAAAGCGGCAAGGGGAAAGATGACGCGAAAGGAATGGAGATTGTGCCAAGAGAAGGGGAGCAGGTGGTGGAGCAGAGCCCGCCGGGGCCTGAGGATCAGCTGCGGTGAGATACGCTGCGAGCGATCTTCAGTGCAACCGCGGTTTCAAAGCTTTCCTCAAGAGTATCGAATTCAGGGCAGGGCATGCTCTGTTCATGGTTGCGGATTGGTTTGGCGGGTACCTTTTCAAGAGCTTGCTGAAGTATCTCATGACCAAGCTGAGGCTAAGGGTGCTAGCTTAAGGGTACGGCCTGGTATTGGATCGAGTAGACTCTCAAGTCTGGCTAGCTAGCGGAGTGCATGCTTGAGATGTCTTCGTATTTCTGGTGACGTGGTCTTTTACCCTTGGCTTCAGATTGGAGTCTTCTGTATTCCAAAGTGAATCTTGGCGCAGAGGGATCCGTCGAACGCAAAGCATACATAGATCAGCAGCCGCAGTTCCTTACTCAAAAGTTGACCACATGAATACTCTTTGGGCACCCTGCCCATGTCGTCTACGATACATTACTTTGTAAGGCAGCAGTTTTGAAAACACATGAGAAGTTGCCGAAGGAACACTGCCTCGCGTTTGACAAAGTGAGAAGGTTGCGCACAGCTGTCAAACCAACAACAACCTCTGCAGATGGATCTTCGACGTGGACGAGAAGGTGTCGGACAGCGTCCCCATCTCCTGGACGACCGACCGGGACCGCAAGAAGCGGCTGGCGGACGAAGTGTACAACGACCTGCGGAAGCACCACCGCGACCTCACCAAGTGCTTTCAGGAGAAGGTGGATCTCCTGGTGGAGGACTCGTCGATCCGCAACGCAGAGCAGGCCATTATGATTGAGGTGAGAAAATCGTATCATGCCGGAATCAGTGGCCATTTCGAGTCTGGTTTAGACAAGCCGAAGAATCCACTCTGTTATCGTAGACGATCTGAACTTTTTGAAACCGGAAATGTCAGAAGATAGAGCCCTAAACGCTCAATGTTTAGGCACATGTTGACGTTGAAACCCTTAGTATGGCTAGGACAGCCATTGTCGTTGTGAGCTCTTCATGCACATTATGACTTCATATGAGATGCACCTAGCGCTTCAAGGTCAAGGATAGGTCATTCACCGGTTTAGGAACTTCAGACCCATCCTGGACTGAGTTAGCTGGTCAAGGCCGCTAAAGCAAGACACATGTTTTCAAAGAAAGTCTCACGGTTCCGTGCTGTGTGCTTAGCTTTAAGAAGATGAAGCAGTTGGGGAAACCTGTCGACTCCAAAACCCTTTCTAGAAATCAAGCCTGTCCGAAAGAATATTCCCCAGCTACGCTATGCTTCCTCCCGCATCAGAGCTTAAGCACCGTAACCCCCAAAGAGCAACATGATCTCTCTCGCAGGTCAAGAACGCGGAGGAGCAGCGGACGCCCCGGAGCAGTCCCTCGTCCTCCGACGGCGAGATCTCGTTCCAGAACGTGCTGCGCATCCGCATGGAGGAGCTTCAGCGCGAGCGGCTGTCCTTCGCCGGACGCGCCGACAAGAGCGACCAGCGCCGGCAAGTCGAGTCGGACCTGGAGGCGATCCGGATGATTTTGAGCAAGGCCAACTCGCTGCAGATTCACTTGCAGCGCGCGCGCCTCAACGGGCGCGGGCTTCCGGACTCGTCGGAGGACGAGGGCGAGTTCGAGATCCTGGGGATGCGCGACTCGACGCGGTTCAAGAACAAGAAGGTGCGCGCGGCGTTCGACAGCGCGCGCGCAGAGCTGGAGACCAGGGTGAGAGTGCTGCGACTTCCTTTCTTCGCTTGTCTGGTCCCATCTTCGGTCGGCGTCTGTCTATGAGAAGCGACAAAAATGTCGAACGTCTGAAGTTGGAGTATTGAGCGAAAGTCATCACAAAGATTCGTTCCGATACGTTTCCGAATGAATCCCTCCAGGTGGTCTCCAAAGCTCTTTGGTGTTGATTGACTAGAAATAGATGACCAAGTTCAATTATGCTCGGTCTGCAGATGGAGAACATCGAGAAGCGGGTCCTGGATCTGCAGCGAGCCATCTCCCTCGGTTATGTTAACCTCCAAGAGGCCCTCGGGTTCGACTACCGCCAGGCGATTGTCCCCATCCTGAAGCAACACATACAGGTTAGAAGCCACTTTTCCTAGCCTGTGCTCCGACGGCGCACCAGCCTAGTGCTCGAGCCAAAGTCTTCTGCTCCATCCGAGCGAGAATTCGAAAGAGAGACCTCTCCTGTACGCACTTGCGCATGCTGCTTGGTGCGTTTCAGGACGACTCATTTGTCTCGATCAGTCAGAGCGGGTATTTAAAGGTCACGGACTTCCTTTTCCACATGAGACCCGCTGGCTTGGATACAGTCACTCAGAGCAAATTTCTTGCTCATAATCTCTTTTTGGGGACGGTGGCCCAACGAAAGGAGTGGAGACAACTGGAAAAACTGGATTTCATAAAATCCGGGGGAGGTCGGAAAAACGAACAGTAAAACTCTGAACCTCGTCACTTTGGTCCGGTCGCTGACGCCTGCTGATTGGCCTCTGCAGCACAAGTTGGTGGCGGCCGTGGACGAGGACGCGATCCGGAAGTCGGACGAGGCGCAGGCGACGCTCCTGTCCGACCTGGAGAAGGAGGGGAAGAAGGCGGAGCCCGCCAAGGTGGCCAAGGCAAAGGACGCCAAGAAGAAGGACCGGCGAAAGTCCAAGGACACCAAGGTATGCTGCCTTGCTTGCAACATAAATCAGTAGTCTTCCGCTTGGGATTCTTGAAGTCAGTTTGGTGGAATGATTCGACTGGATTTTGTATGATCTAAAACACCTGGTCACTCGTCTCTTTGGCCGATGAAGCCTGGCCGATGAAGCCAGTAGTGACCTCTGTAGCGTAATAGAAGTTCTTCCAACGGAGCCTCGTCTTTCCGCTCGTCTAGTAGTCACCTTCGCGATTCCGTAGTTTTAGTCTCGGTGCATTTTGCTCTTCATTTTCGCAGCGTCCCTTTGCCCCTTACTTGTCTGGAATGACGGAGCTGACCTCAGCACCTGCGTCTCTCAGCCCTTTCATGGATTGAAGTGCCCCTCAAGCAACCGATCTGAACAACATTCCGCCGAGTCCTTTTTGCAGAAGGTCGCCTCTGCGACCCTTTCCGAGCGGGACGTCGATGAGGGCGAGGACTCCGAGGAAGAGCTGGCAGACAGCCCCAAGGAGACAAAGGCCGAGCTTCGACGACCAGAGGTGATTGCCACGAACTCTACTTCACCGAGATTAGTGCAGTCTATGCTACTCTGTCCGACAACTTTTGGCCCCTGATTGGCTTTCCTCTTATGGTACAACCTTGTGTATTTTGGCGAAAGCTAGAAAACACATCTTGGCAGTTTCAAATGGTCATCCTCGGACATTGATATCACCCATAATGTTGCCTTTTGGCAAAGCCAAAGTCACGCTGTGTGCTTCTTTCACGTCATCTTATTCAATGTCCCTTATTCTTCTAGGTCATTAGTGTAAAAATATGACAATCCAGGCCATCTTTTGCAAGCGAATCATGACGACGCCTTTGCCTTACGGCCAAAGCCAAGTCAGTTTCCTTGGATCTTTGACCTCAATTCTGAAGGCCACTAGTTCAACAGCTTGTTAGTATCAAGTGCCGGTCGACCAGTTCTTCAGTCTATTGAAATTGGATAGGAAAACCTAAATCGGAGTCGATATTTGTGGCAGGCGACTTATGATGACGAAGACGAGCGGCTTCTCGCGGCGAATCTGGAGCGGCAGCGTCTGGCGGAGGAAGCCTTGGCGAAAGAGAAGAACAAGAGCCTGGACGCTGCAGCACGCCGAAAGATCGAGCAGCAAGAGCGGGAAGCTCTCTTGCGGGAGGAGGAAGAGGAGGTCCGTGCGCGCTGAATTTCCCTTGCTCTAGTCAAGATCTCCTCTGAGCTGTTGCATTTTGGAAGGAGCTGTTTTCTCAGCATGCGGCGGTTTCGGGTTTTTATTTTCTTTTTTCATAAATTGGCATGGCTTTCTGTGGACTTGTCGCATGCTTCTTGATGTCATGAAAGCAGAATTTGTAGTCGGTTTGCAAGATATGGGCTTTGTACGTGAATTGACAGTGGACTGGGTGCGGTGCAGTATACCATCTTAAGGCTGAGCACTCTTAACTACTGATGTGACTGCTAACAATTGCCTCCTGAATCGGCCTTATAGCTTATAGCTCATGGCCTGCATTAATCGCTCATGCCACCTGTCAAGTCACTGGAACTTGATGGGACTTGTACAGGAGGTCTCTCGCCAACTCCAGGTTGTCTGAACCTTGCAAGCTTCCGGTCGTCATTAACCTCAAGCCTACGAACAAGAATCATTTTGCGGATCTTTGAGGACCGTGCGAACCAAGAACTTCCAATGCGGGTTGAAAAGTCACTTTGGCGGATTCATTGTTTGGAGCGCCAAGATGTTGTGCCAAAGACTCTGGTTCTGGCTAGCGATTGATGCATTCTTTTCAGGATCAATTGATGCATTTTTTGCGGGATCCGCCAGTACCGAATCGCCGCCCTTCTTCATGCAGCGGCAATTCAAGCACGCCCTGGCCGAGAGCGAGCGTCAAGAAGCGGAGCGGCGATCCAAGCAGCAGAACGGTGATGCAGATGCAGGGTGGGAACTGGCAGGGTCTAGCCGGCGAGGCGCCCATTCACACAATGACAGGGGATCTGAGGAGAAGCGGTCGGGCCCTCCGGAAACTGAGCAGAGGCGGCCGGACGAGGGCCGGCGGCCAATGACGACTGGGGGGATGAGAGAGGGGCCACGCCAAAGGTGAGAGGCAAGGGGGTTTAATTGGGTGCTGGCAGGAATCAAGAAGTATCATGGGTGGTGCTGCTTGAAACTTATCGAAAGTCAGGCTGTTGGAGTCGCTGTATAGCTGTTCTCTCATAGGTAGGGACATCAATTGCAGATGCTGTTGCAAGTTCTTGTCAAGGCCCAAAGGCATGTTTGAATAGACGGTGCTTCTTGCCTATTTAAAAGTGATTTAAGATGCCCGCAATGGCGCGGCAACCGATTGCAGGGATTTTAGGCCGCCATTGTCTAGTACGTCGTTGCAGAACTTCCTGCCTGCGTTTCCTGCTGGGGCACAAGACGGTTTCCCAGCTCATGCAGCTCCAAGAGTTGCATTGAGGTGGCAACCGCGACCGGCAAATGAGCCTCATTCTTCTCATGCTCTTTAGATCCAGAACCCAGATCCCACACCTGATTTACAAATCCATCCCTGAACCCCAATACCTTGCCCTAACCCCTGTTCCGAATGGTTGTGCAGGCACGACTCCACCCGCATCCCCGTCGTGCAGCACCCGCAGCACCATCAGCACGCCGCCCGCAACCCCCCCCCGGCGTCCCCCCCCCTCACCGGAAAAGCGGACAGCCTCGCGTTCCAACAGCTGGAAGACCTCTCCAAATCCTCGTCCTGGTCCCACGTCGCGGGCTCGCGCGGCAACCAGCCAAAACCCCAAAACCCCCGCTCGTTAAAAGACCAACAACAGGCGGCGCTCGCACAGCGCCGGACTGCCGCGTACTACCCCGACTCGCCGGAAGTGTACCGGGGGGGTCAAGCGAACGGCAACGGGAGCTCCCCACAGTGGCACCAGCCCCAGAATAACGACGCCGACATGACGTCACTGTCTCTCGGCGGGCCGACCGGGTGGGAGGCGCAGGACGCGCGGGCCAATGGCGGCCTGCCAGGGGTAGCGGAGGAGGAGCCCGACGTGTCGAACCTGATGAGCATGCTGCTGCCGAGTGGTCAGAAGCCGGACAACGGGTTTGCGGCCGCGCTGCGCACGGGACTGCCGGCGGATAATCGGGTGAACGGGAGCGGGCAGGACGGGGAGCGTGTGAGTGCTGCAGCTCCTTAGAAATGCTTCATTGTTTGTTAGCGCGCTATTCGGCCTGGTTTTGGTTGAAAGTTCCATCGCAAAGTTCTGCTCTTTGGCCCGAGTATACTGCTTGGAAGCTGCTGGCACGCTCCGAACCTCTTTCGTGTGGAGATTGAACTCGTTCTTGTGGACAGATGGAATGAAGTCCTACTGGACAATACCCCTGCTGGATGTTAGAAAAAGGGCCCCAGTCGATGCTGGCAAAGTTACCTTTGCTAAGGCTTTTAGTAGACTGGTTCTCGCAAAGCGCCTTGTTTTATGTCAGGTCTGCTTTGCCTTCACAGGATTGGAGAGCCTGTGGTCCCCTAGCCAGTCGTATCGCTCACTGCATCTCCTTTGGAACCGCCCACAAAAACCTAACAACCTGTTTTCCCCTCGCTCCCAGCCACAGGATCGGCCAGATGGCGCGATCCCGGAGGACGACAAGCGCTTCCAGGCCGACATCCGGCTCGCGATGCAGCAGTCCCTGCAAGCGTCAGGCGCTCCCTCCCGCCCCGCGTACCCCCCCGGACGTGCGCCCCCCTCGGCCAATGGCAGCGCGCCAGCTGGCGCCGAGACGGGCCTGCAGGAGACGGTTGCGGGCAAGGGGCTGGTGAACGAGACGGGGCAGTACAACTGCTTCCTGAACGTCGTCATCCAGTCGCTGTGGCACTTGAGGAGCTTCCGCAGGTGAGCGCCTGGGGCGAGTTTTTGGGATAGAGGGTCAAAATCAAAGGCTGAGCGTAGCCAAGGAGAGTCTTAAGGGCTTGTGTTCCGACTTCTGTAGTAATCAAGCCCACGAGCGATGGGCGCTTCCAAAAAGGGGGCGTCTTATTCCATAGGTTGCACTTCGGTCTCCACTATGCTCATTCTGCTTGACGGCATCCGTTAGGGTTGTCTGGGTCGAGCCGATCGAGCTAGGCATATGCCACCCCCAGTGTTGCACTTGATTGAACATAAGAGAAACTTCACAACCTTAGAACCCTGCAAAATGCGCCCTCGCATCAAAAAACCGGAGAAGGCTAGAGCCCTACAAAATATTCCATCTCTCAATGAATGCAACTAAACTTCACAACTTTAGGGGCTGCAAATCGAAGTAACGTGTCAATGAATGCAGCGAACCATCTCGTTTCCTTCCAGGCGCCTGCTGGACCGCTCCAGCGAAGCCCACGCCCACGTGGGCCACCCGTGCGTGGTGTGCGCGCTGCGCGAGATCTTCACGGCGCTCGACAACCGGGCGCCCGGCCCGGGGCAGCAGGGCGCGGTGGACCCGACGCCGCTGCGCATGGCGCTCGACGCCATGTACTCCGAAACCAACTTCTTCCAGGAGGTGGGTCATCAGTCAGGGTGGCCTCCTCTTCAGCAATTGAGCTGGCCATGACTACAGCCCCTTCGGAATAATGGGCTCCTTTTCGTTGCGAACTAGAGAGCGCGATCGTTTTTCTGGTCGTTTTTGGTGCAGGAAGCCGCTACAGTGCGGCTCTTGTCCTCGGTCCTCATTCCCTTCGAGGGCCAGATGAACGACGCTGGGCTGGCGTTGTGATCGTTCAGATTGTGGAGTTTTCTGGGCACCTCAAAACAAGAGAGCGCTCATGTTTTGGTCATTTAGAAGGGCAGGAAGCTGTCAAATCATGGCGATGTCTGCTGAGTATCAGCCTCATTCTCCCCCAAAGTTTCAAACTTGAAAACCTCGGATTATAATCTCTGAAACTCCGTCCTTTTTCTTCCCCAGGGCCAAATGAACGACGCGTCCGAGGTGCTGGACGCCGTATTCGACGCGATGCACAAGGCCTACACGGCGCCCCCCGGGCAGGAATACGCAAGCTCCGACGAAGAGGCCAAGCCCGACGGCTGGACTTGCACGCAGCTGCGGCGGTGTATCGTGCACGATTTGTTCGGGCTTGATGTCGCGGAGGAGATGCAGTGCAACAACTGCCAGCTGGCGAGCCGCAAGCTCAAGTACACGTCGTACTTCCACAACATCAATGCGAGCGCGCTGCGGCGAGAAAAGGTGGGTTTGCAGTATAATTTGGGTTTGTGGTTGCAGGGTTTGATCTTGAGCTTCAGGTGAGGCTTGAAGTTGGGTTTGATCAGGCAGGCATGTCGCAAGCTCAAGTACGTGCCGTAGTTCCACAACATGAGAGCGAGCACGCTACGGTGAGAGAAGGTGGGTTTCAAAATTCGTCCAACTTTGACGCAGTGATAAACATTCTGAGCCGAATTTCGTAGGGATTGGAGCTGAACCTGTCGCCGCATAGCTGCTCAACACCCATAAAAGCCCAGAATAGCGTTTCGATATCTGGTGTTTCATAATTCATGATACAACGCCATGCTGACGTCACTTTGTTGCAGGGCCTGGAGCCGAACCACACTCTGGCGGAGCTCAATTGCATATACTACCACAAACTCGTCCTGTCATTTACTACTGTAAAGTCACCTCGTACGCCTTCTAGGTCATTAATCTGAATGCTGTGACGTCACTCTGCTGCAGGGCCTGGAGCCGAACCACACGCTGGCGGAGCTGCTCAACTGCATCGACCACCACCACGACCTGCCATGCGACCCCGACATCGGCGGCTGCAACAAGGTCAACCGCATGCAGTACGAGCTGCGCGCCACGCCGCAAGTCTTCACCACGGGTGAGCGCGCATGGAGTTTGTTTGAAGCAGCTCCCGGTCTTGGTAACCCTCTAAACAGAAGTGGTTCCCTTGTCGTTTGGAAAGGCTCGGCAGCTTTTTTGGCGGGATGGGTTTGATCTGTTTCCTTGTCTCTCGTCCATCATTTGGGACGCGTCTGGCGTGAGGCAGCACAAAGTGTTTGACAGCAATTGCAGTCCTTAGGATCCGTGGAGGCAACGTCGTAAGGTTGGGACGTTCGCCTTGTTCCTTCATCTGGGCTGTGGCGGCTGCCCTTGGAAGGAATGATTGGCAAAGTGGAAGCATCCCCTGTTTCGAGAGTGGAGTCGTCCTCCTTCGTGCCGTTTAAAGGAGAGGAAGACCGCATCCCAGCAAAACGATCTTACTCCTCGCCCTCGTCCTGGGATGTGCAGACCAGCTGCGAGCATTGACGATGTTCCTCCGTGATCGCCCGGCATCAATTGAATAATAAACTCACAGAACCCGAAAGTACGACGTCTACACTTCAGAACTAAGTTTCCGAAGCATATCATGACGTCAAGACTTCAAGAATATGACCATCCAGAATGCTGAACTCGTGTCTATGTCTACAGTCCTGGGATGGCAAACTAGCCGCGAGAGCATCGACGACATCGCCGCGACTGTATCCGCGATTGATGTGGACATCGACGTTCTGACGGTGTACTCGGGCGCGCTGAGCGGGTTGCGGCACCGCCTCGTGTCGGTCGTCTGCTACTACGGCCAGCACTACCACTGCTTCGCCTACAACCAGGAGCTCGCGCGCTGGGTCATGTTCGACGACACCACCGTCAAGGTGAGGCTGCGTTGACAGAGCTCGTTTTGATTTGGTGTCAAGTTGGTGTCAAGTTGGTGTCAAGTCAAGCATTGAGTGTATCAGTATTGGACGTGAGCTACTTTTCCAACAACCAGGAGCTTGCTAGGTCATGTTCGACGATACGCCGTCAAGGTGAGGCCACAATGATTGACTGCTGCTGGATTTAGTGTCATTTCTGTCCGCTTCTTGTCGTTTGCGATGGTTCTCCTAACAAAGTAGCAGTTTGCGTGCTGGAACGTGACCAAATTTGCCGCCACGTAAGGGGGTGTCACAATTTCACTGCGGAGGCGCTCGTGCTCTATGCTGACTTCTTTGTCGCCCTGAAAGGATTACGAATGCCGGGGGTGGTTCACCAAAAGGCCAAAGATTTGGACTGATGACTTCCATTCCCTCTGCAGTTGATCGGAAGCTGGGACGACGTGATGCGGGCATGCTGCCGGGGTCATTTGCAGCCACAAGTATTGTTCTACGAACGAATAGCAGACTGAGGGGAGCGGACTGGGGGAAGTGGATAGAAGGGGCTTGCAACAAGGGGCCAGCGATAGATTTGAACTACAGCGGTTACGAGCACGTTGCGTCTTTTAAAATGGCAAGAAGCAATTCTGGCCGAATACTTTGGATAGTACGCTGCTTTCGCAAATCAGGAAGAACTTCGTTATCATTGGACCATGTCTGAGTAGTCGAACAGTCGAAGTCGTGCTTTTGATACCTCACACATGTGTGGCAAGCGACTCTGTGAAAGCACACGTCTCGCTGGGCCATCATGCAGCTAATCAAGCTCTCAAATAACCCGGTGGCTAATGAAAAAAGAACTTCAAGTGGTGACCACCTGCATCATACGCCGGCTCGGATACCTGTCAATACCACTTGGCTCTGCGCATCATTGCAATCAAATGCAATATATTATGCATGTGCCCATTTTGACAGAGTGCGCACGCGCAGCACGCCGGCCCGCGCACGTCAATCACTGGCCGCGCCATGGTCCTTGAAGCTGCATGCAGCGCGCACGTTTCAATCGTTCGATTACAGGTATGGCCCGCATATATGTATATACGTCACATATAAGGTTAAGCTATACTGCACCGCCTGCGATCGGTCGACAGCTCGAGCGAGAGCCCTTGGCCACGCATATACACGTACTTGGGCGCATATATATACACTTACTTGAGCTTGACATACACATACAGTCATTCGATTTAGCCGCGGGCAGGATGGTACCTTTAATGGCCCCGCCGCATATACGTGCGGCCCCCCGGCCTGGACCGGCCCGGCAGCCGCCGCGTACTATAGCTTGCACTTGGGCGGGACTCAGTCAAATAATGAGCTTGATCGGGATGTTGGCCCGCATAGGATGTGCATGAAAATGATGTCATGCGCGCGGCCAATTGGGCCAATTGGATCATGTGTCGCGACAGACCATCTCGGTGCTAGATCATGTCGGCACCACAGCATGACACAATCGGGCGTGACACATGACCCGGCCCATGACATGCGAACTACTATCATTCATTCATGCAGATTCAGCTTGATATGCAGACAATGATGGCCGACCAAGCGCAGGTTTTCCACGAGTTTCAAGTCGGAGGGACGACGGCGGCTCAGGGGAAGTTGATTCTGAGATGTCAGCAGCAGAGAGGCATGTGACTTCGAGGGAGGCGGCCAATGATGATTATTCGCTGGCATCCTCATGGCTGATCATCCGTTCGCTCTGTATTATCATGAAGCCGGGCAAGTCGTTGGCCCGAAGTCTTTCAGCATGCGCAAGTCAAGGAGCCGCACTATGCGCAGAGCCTGTTACAATAAATCTTAATTCATTGCGCTTCATGCTCCTCATATGATTAGTTTAATGGCGAGCCTTTTCCACCAAGCCTCAGTTCAAGGTCATAAAAGATCAGGTCATTTCGCCGTCGGGAGGAAGCTCTGCGTTGGCCAATTGTTGCATCCTCTTCCTTCTGTGCCGCATCGCCCAGTACTGCGCGAGCGACGTAGTTGCTATCATGACGTACGCGAACGTTACCACCCTCAGCGAGAAACGCCGGCGCTCGCGGTGCCACGTGGCAACCTCCCCCTGGTGCTCCCACCGGCGGACGACGTCCGGATCCAGCTTCGGCACGCCGGCATCCGAAGAGTCCGAAAACTCCAGCGCCGCCTGCAATCATGACAGGGGAATCACAGCGGGTAATATAATCCATGGTAGCAATGAGGCAAAAGTATCAGCCGAGGTTTGCTGAATGTTGAATCAGGATTCGGTCATGCATGATCCTTGTCTCATGAGACTGAGCTTAACAAGATACTCACAAGATAAAGGCTGATGACTCCTTTTCCTGATTTCGGCCGGGGCGGCTTGTTGTCAATGTTTTGCTGTACTGGAGCTTGGCGTGTGCTTCGTCCTGAGAGATTGAAACGTATCCTCTCCGGCATTTGGAACGATGGACCTTGGCCCTTCTTCGAAAGCTCAGAAGCAAAGATGTCAAAAGAGAACCCAAAAGAAAGACACATTTGCATGTAGTTGCGAGGTCGGGCAGAAGAGCTTCGAGAAGAGGTTACCCAACAGGGTAAGAAAAAAACAATCATGACCGGGAACACACTTGTGGCGAGTTCGACGAATGTTTTCTTCTGCATACGGAGAAGAACCGACTGACCCGACGCTCAGTACTAGAATCGTGCAGATTCCAATCACGTTGCATGGATGCTTGACAAACTAGAGAATCTGAGCTGTTGTCTGCAGACCGACACCTTTCCAAAGCGAGGCCGCTTGAAGAGGATGCTCCCTGTTCATAGCATTGAACCGCGGGCCCAGTCCATTGTGACAACCTCGAATGCTTGAAAATCCATGTTGCATTGTAGCGATCCCCGATCCAAGATACTTGGGTCGATCTGAGGAAGTAAGGCTGCAAACCGCTTGATGTTTGTCAAGTTCCTATTAAATTCACGATACTCTGAAAACGTCGGAAGTTTCTTTCGATTTAGATTTAAAGACCGAGCTGATGAAGAAGTCTGTGGCTTGTTCTGCGAGGAAGAGAAGATTTCTGAAGCCAGCGAGGAAGCTAGGGCCCACCTCGAGCTCGGCGCTCGATGGCGCATTGCGTGAGACGCTGCTCCTCGCACGAGGTTTCATCTCTCGAAGCGCTCGCGTGAGGCCTTGCACCACCTTGACCGCCTGCAGGATGGCGCGGAAGCGCGCCGCCATTCTAGTTGTGGAACGACTTTCCGTTAAAATTAGGAACTGCGATCTCGTTGTCGAGCGCGCTGGCCTGCGGGAAAACGTCGTTTGCGGCTCTCGTCGAAAGGCCAGGCTTTGATAAGAAGTTCCATGCGAAACCAAGTTTTTTAGAAGGTGTGGAATGGCCACTCTGCTTATTGTCAGACTGCTTGCCACGCTCGCGCGCCCACAGCCAGGTGTCAATATCAGAAAGCAAAAGCAGAAGCAGAAGCTTTTCTTTAATAGCAGAAGTCGCTCCATGCAACCTGCACAATCTTCGAGCGAAGGAGAAGGGGGATCTTTGCTGGAGCTTCTCTCTCAGTGACCTTCAAAATTAGTTGGCTGCGCCGCTCAAAGAGCGCCCTTTCTGCTGGTCACTTTGCATGCGGTCTGCATGAAAGTAGATTGCTGACATCAGTTCTAACGCTCGTGCATGAAAGGCCACCCGTTTCTCAAGCAAAGTTACCTTAGGCTTTCATTGTTCATAAGCTAGAGGGCGACGTCGGCTTCAACTCTCCTTCGTCACCTCCTCACCAACAGATCTTGATTTGTTGGGCCTGGCCCGGCCGCGGACCGGCGGCCACAGGCCGCCCAGTGCCAGACGCGAGTGTCGCGCGAACCAAGTGCTACAGGCTATGAGTACGTCCGATCATTGCTGCAAACGTTCGCATGAAGTAAGCGCGCGGCGCGCGCGTCCGGGCGCGCGCCGGCCGGCCGCAGTCTGGCACCGAAGGCCGGCGGCCGGCCCGCTGGCGGCGAGGAGGTTTTCGAACTTCGCGGAGACATCGTCCGCATGCTCTGCACTGCAGACAGCCCTACCGTTAGTACCGCGTAGTCGATGGACGCCGGCCCGGGTCCTAGACTGTAGTACCGGGACTACAATAGGTCACCGCATCTCGGCGTTCGACCAGACCGGGGCTTAAGCCCCGGCCGCGTAGCCTGACTGAGTCACGTCCGAGTCCGTTCTGCGGACGGTGTCTGCGCCGGATTTTCAAATCCAAGAACGTGACAAGCTGAATTCCGGAATCTGCTGCGCAGAAGAAAGCTGAGCAGCGAGCTGCGCGACTGGCAGCAGGGCGAGCATTCTTTCCAACTTCAGTTTTCAACCTCGCGTGGGTGGTTCAACATACCTTTGGTAAGTTGGTCCTCGGCGGCTGGCACTGACGGCCAAGATGGGCGGATGCGTGGCGCCGAGAGCGCTTCTTCTGGTGGCAGCTTGCTTTGCTGGTGAGCTTCTTCTTACGGCTCCCCATCTTCTCTAAGCTAAACCTTTGAAGTCATCTCACGAGGTCATGGCGCTTGGGAATCAACGTTTTATGCAACAAGGGTTTGGTTGGAGTAAAGGTATCGGCTTGAGAGCGGGCAGAGGACAGCATTGTCTGACAAGATGTTTCAGAAAGGTATGATGACATCAGTATAGTAGTGGTGGCGCCTCAGATCTCTTAGTGTTTTTGCTCTTTGGGCAGCTTTTGAGCCTTTCTAAAAACACAATGCTGAACTCCTTTCACAAGTTGTTGACTTGGCCCCATGTTGACCACCCACTTGGCAAGCGCCACCAAAAACATATGCAGCATTGATGTTCTCCTTCAAGCTTAAGCATCACCCTTTTTCCTCAAGAATAACTTCTGCTTTCCTCAAGAATACTTTCCAGAAATTGAAATTCCAGCTCATCAGTAGCTTGCTGCTCGTTGTCGTCCGAACCTCCCGTCACACTGTAGTTTCTAAACATGTTCATTTGGGACATACCACAGCAGAGTCCGCTTATTACTCTAAGTAAGTCTGCTGAGGAGCAGGGAGTGAGAGATGTTTGGCTCAGCTCTCCGCAACTCCTTGGATGAGATGAACAAAGCTCTTGAAACTTCTCTCAGCAAAGAAACGCCCCGATCTGGGACACTCCTCCAGAATGTCGACACCTATCTGATGTCAGTAGCAGCACATCCCCCACCGCACAAGTTGTAGCCTGAAAGTTTGAGCTTGTGCCAGTATCCAATCAACACCTCCGCTCTCATTTTTTCAGCGCAAAGCTTTCGGTGGCCTGCGCTAAAGTATGGTCGCTACACCACCATTTTTGAACCACAATCATTGTAAAGATTGGGCGCACGAGGCACATTCGCAAGCAAGTTGGGGGTGCCTTAGGTGTTATGCTATGGCTTGTTCCTTTCTGCGAGGGTGGTCAAAACTTAGGACTGTCACCCAAACAATTCTTGGGCTCTTGAGCTTCTCTTGTTTGCTGCCCCCCACCCCTCTTTACTTCCTTTTGCGATTACTGCTTTTCAATCTGACGCTTTCGAAGCCTGACAAATGTGCAAGCATGGGTAGTTCAAGTTGCCACAAAGAAGTACTTGGTTACTCTGAAGCTTACATTTAGACGTTCATCTTACCTAGAGTTTGGTTCTCCTCATTGAACATCGGCAGTATCTGGATTCTTTGACGTCAGAGATCATGTGAGCTGTATGAGAAGCTACGGGATCCGCGAGAAAGGAGCAGTGCGCTGAAGCAGCCTTCTACTCAACCTCTCACATCTACAAGAGCCTGCAAAACGAGCCGTCTCAAAGGGGGAAGTCCTGATGAAGAGTCTTGCTACCAGGGAAACCACTCGCGAGCTTGTTGAGAAACTGACGCTTTCTGATCGGTGACTTGACAAATCTCTTCTGCAGCTTTTGCTGTGAGTGCGGTCAACGGCCAGACAAACCAGACTCTCCAATCAAACCTCACGTGAGCCATGCCCCTCCCCCCTCACTCTCAGCTGATGGTCTTCCAAGGTTTTTTAGATTAGTTTTCTTGCTTTAATGTGCTCCTATCTCCTGGTGAAAAGTAATGTGTAGTGGTAATCTTCGGTTTTTTTTGGCTCGGGTTCTCCCGCATTTTAATACCATGTTAGCCAATGGTCTACTACGTTTCCATGTGTCAAGAAAGCGCACTGCTTCTTTATCTTCTCGGTCAAATGAGGCTCATCATTCAGTAGCACGATTGATTATGCTTTGAACATCTCGTAACGCTGCCATCAATTTTCTCCTGCGCAGGACGGCGCTCTCCCAGAACCAAACCGCGTTTGCCGCGCTGGTGTCAAGCCTTCAGACAGCCCTCCAGGCGCGCCTCAGCAGCGTCAATCTGACCTCACTCAACACCACCCAAACCCCTCCACTCCTCCAAACCTCCCTAAACCTCTCCCAACCCATCATTGCTTCCGCAGCCGTCAACCTCACTCTAATCAGCGGCTCAAACAACACTTTATTCGTTGCTCCTTCCGCAAACCCCTTCAACGTGACTAACTCGCTTAACCAGACCGTAACCCTGGTGCTAACCTTCTCTCCACTACTGAACTCCTCCGCCAATGCGACCAACGCTAGCATACCCACTAACCAAACCCTTTCGGTTAACGGGACCCTGGTCCTTGGGTGCCAACTTACACTCCCGAACCGGACCGCCACAAACGCCTCACGAAGCACGCCTCTGTTTGCCCTGAACGGCAGTCTAACCGTGAACTCAACCCAATCGTCGAACGGCACTCTCCTTCTGATTGGAACGCTTGTCTTCGGAAACGCGACGGCGCAACTAGGCGCGAGGGCGCCTGCGCCGGGGGCCTTTGGACCCTTTGCCCCGGCGTCAGCCCCACTGCCCCAGACGCAGCAGCTCGCCCCGGTTGGGGCACCCCCAGGTGAGGTGGTGTGAATGGGCACTCAACAAACGTGGTTACTTGAGAAGTGAGTATATGTAAGACAGAAGTCGGGCCTCTGTGACACTTCACGTAGATTGATTGAGAAATGAGGTCAAAGGAGTCGAATCAGGGGGCATGTGTGGTGTTATGATCTCCATAAACCCCAACGCTTCAGGTGCCTCGATGAGATCAATCAGACCTGCTCGAACCAGCTAGATGGCCCCCGCTCATGTGACCCGACCATTGCTTTTCGAAGCCACCACCCCTTCTGAAGAGCCATGTTCATATGCCTCTGCTTTTGACACATTTTGCCCCGTTCCTGATTTTTTGTCACTCCTGCGGCCTGCTGGTCGAAGTCGTCTTCCAATCTCTGCTCATACGGTACTCTGCCACCCATCGCTTCCTCATCCCGTATCCGCCCCTGCCCTCTCCTTCTCCGCAGGCCAGGTTAGCAACCCCGTCATACTTTCACCGTTAGTAATCCTGCAGATATTCAGCCCCTCCACTCCGGACAGTTATACATCTCTGCGAATAACCTATCACCAGACGACAGCTTATTCTCTGGCACGATCTTCCTCGCAGGCCAGTTCAGCAACCCGGTGATGTTCGCCGAGTTTGCCGATCCTGACGTCATCCGCGTCCAGAACGACTTCTACATGGCGGTGACTAGCTTCCACATGTTCCCAGGAGCACACGTGAGGCAGTTTGACGTTTAGAGAAAGTTATTATGCTGACGTCAGAGCAGGTTGCACGTTACCTGCCGCTTGTCTGCATCCGCCTCGTACATTCAAACATCGCTTTCGGTACGTCGGTTGTGACATCAGCCGGTCTTATTCGTGGCTGCGTTCAGAGCCACTCTTAGACTCAGTCGGCTACACATTTTGTCTTTTTCTGCGCCGCCTCTGGTTGAAGGCGCTCGTCTGGACCAAGAGCGCTTGTCAACCAAAAGCTTGCGTAGTACATTTATTAGAGGAATACCTTTCGACCACCGAGCAGAACAATGTGGAGCCACTTGTCGTCCTCACATTCCGCTACGAATTGACTGCCTAGACAGATACGCATCTAAGCTGAAGACGAAGGATGATCTCCACAAGCCTTTCCAAAACGGATTGTTAGAGCGCTTCAGAAACACACCCTGCAAACCCTGCCTGAAACCACTTGTTGCACTCCTTTCCCTATCGCTCTCTTCACAACGCCCTCTCACCCTTTGCTGAGTACTATTTTTAAGTTCGGGCCTAAACCTCTCCTTACTTACCCCGCAGATTATGCACTCGCGCGATCTGATCAACTGGGAATACCTCTCGCACGCCATCCCGCAACTCCCGCCGTCGATCGACGCGAAGTGTTACAATCTGGACGGCTGCGACAAGTACGGGACAGGCACTTGGGCCAACAGCCTGCGCTTTTACAACAACACGTTTTACCTCATGACCAATATGAACGACAACGGAGCGTTGCTCTCACGCGCCGCGGACCCGGCGGGGCCGTGGAGCGTGACCGCGCTCGGGTGGGCCTGCCAGGACCCGGGTGAGGAATCTTTGGGGGTTTGCAAGATCTGAAGAGCGTGTAGATTTCACCCGCGGAGAAGCTCGTCTTCTTGGCCTTCACCATATCGAGAGTCGATAGGGGATTGCAAATCGTTTGGTGTCCCTTTCTTGAAGGTTTGGAATAGTAACTTGTCCAAGCGAGAGCTTTTGTGGTTTCCTCTACCCATCGCACCGTGGTTAGAGTGACGACATTGGACGACGCTCGCCGGATTAGCAGAGTCAGCAATACTGCTCTCCACACAAACCAATGGGTCATAGAGTGAACAACCGAGACTGTAGCCAGGGCACGCCCAGCCAAGTGCCGCTTCTGCTCCCCGTTTTTGCTTATCCCGGTGATCAAGACACCTTCATCTTCAAGCGCGCAGATCTGAGTACTCACACTGGCGTGAATGCTGACGTCATCATGAGAGCGAAGCATCCCAAGCTGCGTGGATGGCTACCACCCGACGATGACGGCACCGCTTCTCCTGTTAAAATGTCGGCAGTCAGGTTTGACAACAGGTTTTCCGATCCTGACGTCAGCATTTGCGCTGCTTGCAGGGCTGTTCTTCGACGATGACAACAGCATCTACGCGGTTTGCGGCCATGGACAACTGAACGTCTACACTTTGAGTCCAGACTTCCAGCCCATAGGCAGCCCCGTGCAGAGTGAGCCGCTGACGTCACTTCCCAGCCAGTTTACAGCACACCTTGAGTATACTCGTGTCATACTTGAGCCTCTGATTCTTCGTTTGTCAAACGCTTGCGAGTTCAGAGCTCCTCCTTAACTTTCCCCTTTCCAACACTGTTTGTCGATACTGTTAAGCATCCTGTTTCAACTTCATTCTCTGAGCATACTAAACGCCACGTCATCTCCCAACGGTAAAACATGGCCTTGGCTATCCGCTCTCAAATTCTCACATCATGACCTTTGCGAGCCCTTCAATCGATCCACCTTGCACTTCTGTCCGAGACCCAGTTGCTACCTGTCCCTTGTCTACCGCGCACTCAACAAATCTCTGCATCAACCCGTTCCGCAACTCAAGCAGAACGTAACCCAACCCTTAACCCTCTTAACCCTTGCTCCCAATCCTGCAACTCAAACAGTACTTGACCCAACCCTTAACCCTGTTAAACCTTGCTCCGCAGTCGTGAACGACTCCGTCCAGTACCCCGGGTTTGCGAGCAGGTTTTACGGCATCGAGGGCTCTCACATGTACAAATCCAACGGCACTTATTACATTTACGCGCTTTGGGGGGGTGGCGAGGGCCAGCAAATGGCGCTCCGAGCGACTAACCCAACTGGTCCTTATGAGTATTACAAGGTGCTGCAAGGGCTCGGGGAAGACAATTTGGGGTATAAGGAGAACAGCATCCACCAGGGCTGCCTGGTCAACACGACCAACGGTTAGTGACTTAACGAAAAGTTGGTTGTTTGGTGATGGGTTGGAAGTCTAGACCTCTTTCTCTGCAGTTCTGTTTCCGACGTGTGTGTCCTGTCCCTGTACTCTCTGCTCGACCTTGTTCCGGCTCTGATGATTGGGCATTTTTCTTGCAAGCAACGAAGAATCGGCGTTTTGTAAGGAAACATGGTTTTGACAAAAGTTGAGGGCTTGCCGATTGTCACGAAGCATGACAAAAGTTGAGAGCTTGCCGGTTCGTTTACCCGAGGAAGCAATTCTCTTTCACCTCCTTGCACAGATGTACTCGTTTCCATCCGGATCGCTGCGGATCGCAAAAGATCCTTGGTCTTTCTTCCTTCACTGTGAACATCGGTGCCGCCAAACAAAGGAATCCTTTAATATTCGCAGATGTTGCTCCCATCATTTTTGGTCTCTGCGGAGTCAATACTCGTTTTCAATTCCACAGGGAATCGTCAAGCCAACAATAAAATGCTTCAGTCGAATCCAGGTGTCTTGTTGGCTGGTTGAAAGATAGATCCGGCAGTGATTGAAGTGGGCGTCTGCACTCGCAAGTGCACCTACATATTCGACATTTTAAACGTACGGAGTCGAGTTTATCGGACGTCTTACAGTCAGCTTTTCGAGCCTCCCTTCAGCCTTCTTTAGATTTTGGCAGCTCTTGCGTTCACTGAGGGGTGTGTTCACTAGGATAAGCACCCGGGGGACGGGTGGGGTGAATCAGGGGGGTAGGAGGGGTGCGGGTGCGGAGCGGCTGATCTTTTAGGTTAGGAGTTATAGTTGAGGTGCCCAATACTCCTGTATTGCCGTGAACGCAAGAGTTGCTAGTATCTCCTCAGGACTCGGTCTCACTAGTGTGCTTATAAATCCGACGCCCACTTTCAAAGCGCGACCGTTTTCCTCATTCTTTACCTGAATCGTTTGTAGGCGAATGGTGGAGCTACTTGCTTCAAGACCACGACGCGGTCGGCCGCCTGCCCATAATTCAACAAGTCAAGTTCGTCGACGGCTGGCCAACCATAGGGTGAGCTTCTTGCATTTTGACAAAAGCAGTATGTTCGAATGTCGCTCATACCAGGTAAAGACACTCGACAATATAGTGTTGAACGTGTGACGTGTTTTCCAATCGTAGGTGGACTCTTGCTTCTGAGGAAAGCAGAAGAGCCGCGTTCCCGTTTTTTCCATGACGGACAAACATGCTGGCTATCAGACATGTGACATTTGGGACTGCCTTATCAAGAGTCAGTTGTGCCTTATCGCTCGGGCTCATGCTCTGCTAGGCACCTCAGGCGACCTTGACGCTTTTGGAATCAACTACAGTCACGGCAGACTTTCGTTCTCAATCTAAGAAGAACATTGCAAAAGCCACAACTCTCCGGGTTTGAGAGGGGATAGTCGCCGGGGTTCCATCACCTTCTGAAAGGATCTTGATTCCTGACATTCAAGCTCCTTTTTTATACTTAAGACAGCATCCGCCTGTGACAACGAGTACGCCATTCGAAGCTGTATTTCTGATCTTTGCAGCGACGGCAAGGCGCAGCAGACGGTCCCTTACCCGAGCGGTATCTATTCCCCGGACATCTTCCCGGCGACGTCCGACGAGTTTAACAGGACAACGCTCGGGATGCAGTGGCAATGGAACCACCAGCCCGACAACACCAAGTGGAGCCTGACCGAGCGACCTGGGTACTTGACACTACACACCGCCACGGTACGCTTGGAGCCGGTTTGTTCAGATAGCATATGAGGACGTCAGCATATCATCAATCGCCCCTGGGACTTGACACGCCATGAATTCCTTTGTTTGAGCCCTCCTGTGGATGGTTTGATTGAATAACATCTGGGGAGGTTTGCATATCATTAAATTCCCTGGAACTTGACACTTCACACCGCCACGGTACGCTTCATTGGAGCCTTGCTGCGGATGATTTGTTCAAATAGTATGTGAGGACGTCAGCATGTCGTCAAATTCCCCTGGAACTTGACACTACACACCGCCACGGTATGCTTCATCGGAGCTTTTCGGTGGGTGCTTGGTTCGTATAGCATCTGAGGACGTCAGCATAGCGTCAGTCGTCCCTGGAAATAACCACTATGCACCGCCAGGGTCTCCTTTACTCGGGCCTTTTTGGGTTGGTGTGTCTGGATGCTTCGTGAAGACGTCAGCATGTAAATTATCGCCCTTGGTACAAGGAGTGCAACTTGGGATCCCCTGTCGTGTGATTCCGGTATCCTGTGCTTGCTGTGGCGTATGTCACTGGTTTCACAACTTGTTCGAAAGCGCAGCTTTCATGGCATCTTCGCTCCGCGGCCCGTTGTGAATTGCTCGTCGCCCTGTTCCCATAGCTTTTATACGGACTGGGATAGCCTTTGTTTCTGTATCGCCTTCGAGACATCTTTCGTAGTACTTCAAAACACCGCCATCCTAACCCTCTAAACCCCCGCTCTTAACCCGCAGGCCATCGCAAACGGCAACCTAACCATGGTGCGAAACCAGCTGACGCAACGCGTGTGGGGACCCCAGAGCGTGGCCACGGTGGCGCTTGACGTCAGCGGCCTGGTGGATGGTGACGTGGCAGGGCTGTCCATCTTCCAGGTCGAGTACGCCTACATCGGGGTCCGAAAGGTGAGCGGCTCGCTCTTTATTTAACCCCATTTTTCTGGTGGTCTGCACACAGTTTCCTGGCGGTTATTTTTGTTGGTTACGTGCTGGTTAGAAGCTGGATACATATCCAATGACCAGGAAGCAGACTCTTCGGGCGGTCTTCGCTCGTCGCAGGCCGGTTATACGGCAAATTACCCGACCCAATTTGGGTTACCCAGCCTGGTTAGCAGGCCAAACTCTTCCTGTGCTGGCCTGCCCCCGTCCACAGCTTTTGTCCGGAAGTTTGTCCAGAAACCCGTACGTAAACCTATGGTTGTTCTTTGGGTCATTTTTGCAGTTGCATTCTGCTTCTCCGGTAACTCTCCTGCTTGTGAATCTGGTACTATAAGATCCCCGGTGCCTGACGGAGGTTTGCCAGACGGCTCGGTTTGTGTCCGCTCCAGTGTCTGTCCTTCTAAGAATACCAGCTCAAGCTCAACGAGCTGGCCTCTACATATATCACATTCCGATCTATTGAGCCTATTCAGCTGTCGTGCAAATTTGTTACTTTGCGGGCCGGTTCTCACATCCTGAGATCGTCAAATTTCTCCCTGATTGGAATGTCTGATATGCACGGAACTCACTTAAGCCCGTCCACTTCTGTGTGCAACATAGCCCAAAGTTGCAAGTCCTTTCTTCAGAGTTCCTCGGGATCCTGATTGGAGGTAACCCTACGCTCATTTGAAGAGCACTGGCTTCCAAACGGTAACCGCACCGCTCCCCAAAGCTGGTCAGGAGACAATAACAAGGATCCGATTACTTAACCCGTTTTGAACATCCTGCAGACCGGAACATCTCTCACGATCACGCAAGTGGAGAACGCCGTCCCCCCCGTGACCGCACCATTGCCTGCGTCAGCAACAACGGTATATCTCCAGGCGACCTTCACGGAGGGGAGTCAGCAAGCCAGTTTCGCCTACAGCACCGACGGCCAGACTTTCACTCCGCTCGGTCCGTCCTGGAAAACCGAGTACCGGGTCCGGGTTTACGTCGGGTTCCGGTTCGGGTTATTTATCTTCAACACGGCGGGAAGCCTCCAAGGGAGTGCGAATTATGATTACATTCGCGTGAGTGTCGCGCCGAGGAATAGCAGTTGATGAACGGTGCCCGTTAACTTATTCAGACAACTTAAGAGAGTGAGGTTTAGGCGTAGGAAAGTCGTTTGAACTTACTGAGAGCTGGAAATGTGTGTTCGTGCAAACGATCGTATAGAGTCAACCGAATTTTTTTGAATTCAAAGTACTTATCAGTGTTTGGCAAGCAGTTTTGCACCGCCGTTCTTCATCAAAATACGTCACGGCGAAAGAAGCAGCGATGCATACTATCTGATCACGCATGAATGATCAGCGAATGATCAGCGATACATACACAAGATATCGCATCAACAAAACTTATACGTAGGAATGCCACTAAGTCGCGTGAATATTCCGGGACAAACGTTTACCGGGCCTACCTCGACAGGCTCGGAAAATCTACATGTGCGCCGATATGCGTACGCAGCTGTTGCGTCATAAGACATGCAGTGACGAGGGCCTGATAATGATCTACCTAGCTAGTAGCTCATCTGCGGATGTGCAACGTACAGGACCAATGGTATGACTGGCAGCACATGTGTATACAGGACTCAGCAATATCATCGATCATGCAATATCAAGCATCGTGAATGTCGAGACATGAAGCGCGATCTTGTGCGCGGCGCTGCATATAATTTGAAAAAGATCTCATTGAACGTGGACGTTTGATATGGTAGCTCGAGTCATGATAAGTCTGGCATGATCGATCTGCAATAACATGCACATGTTCTGATTTCTGTGCATGCTTTATACTTGTTTGCCCCACGGCGCCACACACATGGGCGCTAATTAACGCATGCATTCACATGTCCGGGCGGCTTGCCCAATTACTGTACTACAATCCTCTGCGCCCTAGGGCCCAGGGCCCGCCGGCCAGTATTTCAAAACGTTAGCGCCACTGTTGCGATGCACGACAACTTATAAGACAAGTATATCATCCAAGGCCGGAGCCGCCTTCAATGTTTGTATAGTAGCCAGCATGCGACTGCTGTACCGATAGAGCTCGTTGAATCTGCAATTTGGACGCGCGTTTGAGCAACTCGGCAGACACTTATCATGATGCGAGACCCCTTAGTGCTGCTTAAGAATGCTTCAAGATGGGCGCGCCCGTGCTACATGCATGGCCCCTTGCGCACGTGGCTTCGCCAGGTCTTTGGCGACGCGTACTCCTGCTTCAACGAGTGTAGCTGTACCTTGTCGCACTTCGGTTGCGTGTGGCGGTCTTTTCTTCTTTCGTGATTTCAAATCGAAGCAATATTTGCCCGCCGCAAAGCCGCAAAATATATATAGCAAATTTCCTCCTGAACATAATGCATCTCGACCGTTTTAGAACGCACGGCAGGGTGCATTTGAGGTGAAGGGAAGTGCCTACTTGCAGAAGACAACGTCAACCGTCCGAGTCGAGCGTCCTGCTTCAAGTCACCTTGATCTGTCGGTCCAGCGTTTTGTAATCAGGTAATGGCTAGGCTGGAAGGCAAAGAGTGAAAAACAGTAGCCCTATGTCATAGCTTCCTACTTGAGACGTTTGATTCAAGAAAAGCTCTTGTTCTCCTTTGTTTTTGTAAGGTTTATGGTACAAGGCTCTCAGACGAGTCTCGTCTGTGCTTGCAGATTACGAATCATGCTTACGCTCGTGCTCTTCAACCTCCCTCAACACTCTGATTCCCGCTGGATTAAACTGGTATAGCGTCAGGTTTCATGGCATTCTACGTAAAGAATCAACTATTCCAAGTCCAGCTGCAGCACCCCTGCAGCACGGCTCAAACTCGGTCCCACTTCTCAAAGAACTTATGCATAACGAACCAATTCACAGCGTGCCATCCAACCGCGAACCATTGGACCATGGTGTTCTTCCTGACATCCTCATTCAGCTCCCTCAACCTCTTCAGCGGCTTGATCACTGTCGCGTTCATCTCCTTTGCCTTTCTAAACTCAAGCTCAGCTTGGTCATTGGCCTTTGCTCGACTCCACCCCGCTTTCCTCAATTCCAGGCTCCGTTCCGCTTTGTTTGGAACAGGCCAATCCTGCAGCTCCTCCAGTGTCTCACCGGTAAAGATTTATAAACGCGTTGCAGCGGCTGATTTAACTTCTTGCTCTTTTGATGGCTAGCCATATTGTTCCTGATCTGATCTTATGCTGGCGCCGGCACGTTGACCGACTCTATAAGCCCAACCTTGAAAGTCTCTAGATCACCAGAGAACGTAATTCCGCTAGTTAAAGGTTTTCTGATGAAGAGACAATGCAGGACATCAGGACGTGGCGCCTGTCTGCGCCCTGCATGCGCCAAGCGGGGGGCGGCGCGAGCTTCAATTCCCACCCAACTCTCTCGGCCGTCGGATGGGCGGGGTTTCTGTGAGGGCCGTGGATGTGCGATTCGG